TCATGGTTCTAAGTCCTCTATTGGAGTTGGCCTCACAACAATTAATCATGATTTTGAACAACAAAATAACATGCAGATGTACGTTAGGCCAATTGGTCCGCCCTTGCACGAGTTTGAATCCCCATCTCCGTAGATTAGATTAAAGTAGTTTAAAATATCGCTTCGTCAAATATAAATAAACAAACGAAGATAAATAGAAACAATGAGAATGCAAAAGATTGAAACCTTGGGAGTAAAGTCGTTTCCACCAGAGAACTGATCATCCTTCAACTGGACCCCACCAGCACTCACTGAGATCCCATTGCTAGCTGAGACAACACCATCTGAACCAGTACTACCAAACTCATCCTACATAAAAGCAATACATAATTAAAAATCTACCATAAATATTAAAAAATTCAACACTAAAAATTTCCACACTTTCTGAAAGAACTGTACAGATTCAGAAAAAGGGTTCTTTCAATTCATCTCCCCCTTCACAGAAATACCAGAAATTCTCCAAATTCAAATAAATTCATAAATTCAAATCCTAAGTTCATACATAATTAACTGTCCATACTAAAAGTAAATCCCAATAGCAGTTGGTGGATTTCAAATCCTGCGCCTGCTGTAGCTTAAAGTAGTAATATCGCTTTTAATAAAAAGGACAAATCCCTACGGAATTCGATGACCCATAGAAAAATTCACCGAAACAGGGTCTGCAGGTTATAATATAAGATAAATCCAGTAATATATGGATACATACTCGAGCAGCCATGTCTGAAGACCCCATTAAGCAACCCACCAAGCAAAGTTGACCTCTCCCTCAACTCTCCGCGATACGACACCGTTTCTCCTCACTCCTTCAGCTTGCAAAAACCACAGCAAAACCTTGTCTCTGTCTTCCCCACACTCATACAGCAGGAAAACACTCATAAATCTACACTCTTTCGGTTCAACCACCCGGTTCTGTGAGCTCTCCGGTCCATTTCTTAAAACCTGACTCTCACAAAAAGCCCTCCATGTCTCCTACAGCTACCCGGTCCTAAAAAATTGGAGTCGATTTCTTGCTTCCGAGAAGAAAACAAGAGCCGGGTTTCACTTGGATAGCAGAAACGGCAAAAACCCAAGTGAAAAAATACTGAGAAATAAAGAAGGAGAAGGCAAATGAGGAGGAGAGAGAAAGCTCTAGAGGGAGAGAGTGCTTTAGAGAGATGGTGGTGAATAGTGTGTGTGATGAGAAAAATAGAAGAAACCAGGAGGTGCCACGTCAGAATCGTCGTTGTTTTTTTTCTCTTTTTGGATTTGTTTTATGTATTTTTAATTTTAATTATTTTTTTGTTTTGGTGAGAAAATAGAAAGCTCCAGAATTCGATGGAATTCGATTGAATCTTGTGGCTGTCGATGAAGGAGGCCGTCGGCACGTGGCGGGCGTCTGTCTTGACTTCCTCCGCTTGGTGCGAGAAAATTCAGCCACCAATGGCCACTTACGCCACTGGATACCAGAAGCTCTACTCGCAGCGAAAACGTTGAGCTATTGTACTCGCGCTTTTACGGCTCACACGTCACTTTCTTTATCAGCCAACTCACTTCCTTCTCCAAAAGTTTCCAAATCATCACTCAGCTTTTAGATAAAGTTGGAGAATGAAAATTTCCAAATCATCATTCCCTTATCTTTCTTCCATTTTTATTTGGTAAGTACAAACGATTTTTTACACTAAATTATACTAAAATAAAGGAAAACGGTTTAAAGTTAGAATGTTGTGGGTTAAAAAGAATGCTATAATAACATAGATTGAAATCCAGTCTGAATTTTTGTGTTCAAAGCACGGAAACCGAGAGATCTTAAAACCTTAGACAACATATAAATTACTTAAAAAGTAATTATCAACAGTAGGGTGCTTTTTCCGCTTCATCGATGTTGCTAAAAACCAACTTAACTTGCCCCAGCTTGACGACTCCTTTGATTTGCTTACTAAGGCCTAGCTTACTAGAAACAAAATGGATTTTGGATGGTTAAGAGATAGATAAAGAGATTCAGGCTATTCAAGTTTTTATGACTGATATTGAGTGGTTCAGATTTCTCATTTCATAAGCTCTGGATACATAAATCTAAATATATCTCGATCCTAAAGATGAATTTCAAGGGTGAAATTGTATGAAGCGAGTACCCTACTTCACTACGGGCACCAAGAAGGTGGAGCAACCATGAATCACCATGTGAAAAGGCAAAAAAATTCCAAAATAAAATAAAATATAAGATAGTTCCAAAAACGAAATACAAAAAAGGGGAATTGTTATTGATACTTCAAAATTCTCATTTTACACTCCAAACTTTCTATATTTAGAAGGAAAAATATACTTGTAAGAAATGTAGAACGAAATTTTTGAAATGTCAATAATACTTGTTAAAAAAAAGAGAAAAGTTGCGAATGATATTTTGTGGTGTGGGATAAACGCTAAAATATCCGGCACCCAAAATAGCAAGCGAGTGGGACAGAGAAACAAAAAGGTAGGCCAAGAGTTGTGGATTACGTAAAAAATCCAAATTAATAATTAAAAAAATAAAATAAAATAAAGTAATATAAAAATAAAAGAGATGAGGTTGAAAGTTGAAACTGAGGAGTTTTGGTGCACTTTCTCTTTCTATATGCGCTTTTGTCCACGTCATCTCCACTGACCGCCCCAAATTCTACTGTCCGCCGGCATGTGTGCAGGAGCGCGGCGATGCTTCTAGGCCGCTCTTGTGTAGCTGGGCCCCATGCCCATGGCTAATAACAGTAAATCGTTTCTGTCCACAAGTTTTGGAGGGTGTTTTGGTAAATTCGATAAGGACCTGCCATGTGTCGCAGAACGTGGAAGGCTCCAGTGAAGCTTTCAACGAGAGGCTCAAGATCTTTCGATTAGATATTCACTTTGTGGCTGAAATCGGAGTTGGAAATTTATGCGCCCATTTTTTTTGTGCGGCATTTGTATGATGTCACTACGTTAACAAACTTTTAAATTTTTATTGCTATAAACTTTACACCCGGAGACAATAGAGGAATCGCTCACAAAATGGATGCTAATGTTTTTCGTGATTTGTTAATCTAACACGAAATAACAAGACACGACTTAATAATGAATTAAGTTTTTATTAGATCACTAATTAAAGAACCGTTAAGATAATAGATTTGATACGACATGACATATTAAGATAACAAATATAACACAAAAACAATACAAATGATCCGTTTGTCAAACCTACTTCGCTATCAGCTGACGTCATGTTGGCTTATCTACGCAAACTAATTATTAAATTTTATATTGATCACTTTTCAGCATTTTCCTGCATCGAGACGTTCCAAATGTTACCTTTGAGTCTGAGGCCCTCCGTTGGGCGCCCAGTGATCCGGCCCACGCTCTCATGGCAGTCCAATAACAGCTGCAGCAAGAAGAGGACCCACCCGCCAAAAACCACGAATTTAGGCCTCAATCTTTCTTCTTTTGTTAATTTTTTTTTATTCCAATACTTTTTGTTTAAACTATCTCAATTAAATTTTACGAGCATTTTAATTTAAAAAAAATTCAAATTTCGAAAATTATGATAAAGATCACACAATTTATAATATTGATCTGTAACTTTAAATTTCATTTGCAAATTTTTAATTAAAGGGGAATGATCAATTTTTTTTTTAACAAACAATATTATACAATTTGCCTCATAATAAGCTAGAAATAATGTAGTTCAAAATCGCATTTGACAAGAATCGATTCTAAGACCTTTTACTTATCAATGAAAATAAATATTACTAATACGTAGTACTATGTAGCACAGAATGACCAAACTTAGATGAGACCCAAGCACACAACTACGTAGTAGGACAACACCAAACATATCAAGTTCCCCTCCCTTGGGCCTCCAAATATCTGATAAATACAATACATGTAACCAAGAAATAGAAAAAGACGAACTTAGAAAAGACACCAGAATTAAAAAAAAAAAAGAAAAGAAGAAAAACTAAAACAAAAGTAAAGGTGTTAAACTATAGGCGCGGCAAAATTGATTTGAAATTGAAAGTCCTCGTGAGAGAATAAGAACCGTAGTTCCCGTCGGAGTTCTGTTTTCCTGATCAGCTACTAATTAAATATTCATGATTTGTTTCTCTTGATATCGAATTCAAAGTTACTGAGTATACATTTTTTGATCACTTGATGATTAAGAGAATATTTTTACTATTATCAATAACTCAATATTATAGCATCTAATTTTATGTATTAATATCATATGAAAGATTCGTGTTATAACAATAATGTCATTCACTGATAATTTTTTTATACAACGATATTTTACAATACTAGGCTAAGCCATTCAATGATCATCCATTAACTGATATTGAACTCAACATAAATATATGTCATCATCATTTATGTGAGTCGAATATGAAACTTTTCACTTACTGGAGAAAAATAATACAACTAATTAAACAATAGGATTAGTTGAAACATCCTTGCACATGATGGAACCCATTTTGTACAAAGGAGAAAAAAAGAAACACAAAGAAACTAAGAAATAAAATAACAATATTCTTCATCCAGTTCTTCATTCATACGAGCAAAATTGCTTAAACACGTAAAAAGAGCTAGAGTTTAACGGGCCTAATGGATATTACAACTGTAATGGGCTAATGCGCAATAGTTTTATATAAATTTATAATGCAACGTGATGATGTGTTTGTCGCGGTAATAAATTTCTCAGGATTAAACATTAGCAACGACGTTCGGACAGTTGGTCAGATGCGGATCGGACGTCAACCCAAAACTCGTGCGGTGGGGGAAGGGAATTGAGGTGTCCGCTTTCCCCTTTGCCGGAAAAAGGCGCCACTATTTGCTGAGATTAGACGAAGCACAACCAAAACGTTATGCTCGCCTGCATGTTCGTTCCACCCTTCAAAAAATTACTACCAATTTCCACTATTTACGTCAATTTAATTTATTTTTTCATTGCCTAAATCTCACTTATAAATACAGACAGCAAATTTTCAAATATCGGTGTCACTCTCACTCCTCAACGTTCACACAGCGCATATCACATTCATCTCTCTCTCTCAAAGAATTTTGAAGCTCTCGCGCTGCTTCACTAATGGCTACCGGTGTCATCGACAAGCTCAAGTCTCACGTCGCTACTCTGAGTCAAATCAGGTAATGGCGGTCGAGTTTCCCGTTGGAGTCCAATTTTCTGGATTTTCATGATTTCTACGTGATCTGAGCTTGCTTGATTGATCTAGCTCTTCCTTTTTGCAGCGAGAATGAAAAGAACGGATTCATCAACCTCGTCGCTCGCTCCGTCAGGTAAACTGAACTGAACTGGACCGAACCGAATCAAATCGAATTTTCTTGTTTTTTTTATTTTTCTGTTTGGTTGATTAGAAAATGATGAGAAATTTGGCACTCAAATATGTGTATCTTGAGTGGCACTTTGATGGAATGTGATCTGACTATGCATGTTTCAGTGGAGAAGCACAGCATGTGGACTGGAGTAAGATCGAGACTCCTACTGACGAAGTAGTCGTTCCTCATGCTGGCTTGGAACCTGCTCCTAAAGGTAATTTTGATCTTAATTATGGTTTTTTTGTTGTTTGGTTAATCAGTGATTTCGATTGTGCATTTTTGAATGTAAGATGCATATCGTTATGATTTATTGGATTCTTGATCGATGCAGATACTGCGGAGATCAAGGCGCTTTTGGACAAACTTGTTGTGCTTAAGCTTAATGGAGGCTTGGGAACAACTATGGGTTGCACCGGTCCCAAGTATGCATTTAAATCTCGTGGCGATCACGTAATATATGAACTGTTTTGCTTTATTGTTATACACTTATACTGCTTAAGTAGTGCAATAGTTCTTCTTATCAGAAATGTATGGAATAATTCAAATTCCGAGATGAACTGCTCTATTGCTGGATAATGGGGTTGTTAATGCTGCATATCAAAGATTTAATTAGAATTGTCAAATTTTAATTCATTTCTTACGATTCAATTAGATCCGCCTGATTTGGATTGTGTAGTGGATACTGCTACATACAATGTAATATACGCTGACTGTCCATCTCGTTTCCATAACGTCAATGATTCAAGGTCCATTTTTATTGTCATGTAGGTCTGTCATTGAAGTTCGAGATGGGTTGACGTTTCTGGACTTGATTGTCATGCAGATTGAGGTTATCTTTTTGTCTTCTTCTTCTTCTTCTTCTGTGTGTGTGTGTGTGTGTTTATACCACTTACCCTGCTAATTCTTTTGCAGCATCTCAATGACAAATTTGGGAGCAGTGTTCCCTTGCTTTTGATGAACTCATTCAACACTCATGACGATACACAAAAGGTTTGAGAATCTAATGCCGTATTTTTTTGTTTTTGTCCTCTAAATTTACCCGTGGACTAACTAGGTCTTGTCTCCATTAGATTGTAGAGAAGTACTCCAAGGCAAATGTTCAGATTCATACTTTTAACCAGGTCTGCGGCACCTCTCTTGATTCTTGATCACCTTATTTACTTTATACGTGTGTGTATTAAATACTTAAACCAACGAACTTATACCTTTCCCTGTATGTTTTTTGGATGTACAGAGTCAGTATCCTCGTCTGGTTGTTGACGATTTTACGCCACTGCCATCCAAAGGACAGACTGGCAAGGATGGATGGTATAACTTATACCCTTTCTCTTCCTTCGATATTACTCGTTTTTTCTTTATGATTTGGTGCTATTACTTAATTTACATCCTACTCATATAATTTAATCTTTTTTCTTTAACGTTCTATAAGGCGTGGGAGTGACTGTTGGCTTGGCACTGTGGTTTAGAGGTCTAGATAAAAAACACCTAAGCCCTCTACTTTGTAGTTTGTGGAATCCAATTTCTATCTAGTGAAATTTCATGCAAAGTTGCATCGCTTTCTACTCATGGTTATTTTATGCACATGAAGGTATCCTCCTGGCCACGGTGACGTGTTTCCATCCCTCAAGAACAGTGGAAAACTTGATCTGTTATTGTCACAGGTCGGTCTCTTGATGCCGTTTGTGGTCATTTTATTAGTTTCTCATAGCCCAGGTATAATTCTTTCCTGCATTCGGCTCCATTTTGCAGGGTAAGGAGTACGTGTTTATTTCTAACTCGGACAACTTGGGTGCCATTGTTGACTTGAGTATCCTATTTTTTGTCTGATTGGCACATCTCTTTCTAGACTATAGTTCTTTAGTTTCTAAGATATATTATTGCCTCGTCCGCGATACTGTTTGAGAAAAGAAGTCCTTTTGGATGTTGTTGTATCCCTGACTGGTTGCAACAGAAATTCTACATCATTTGATCAAGAACAAGAACGAATTCATCATGGAGGTATGAAAAGGTTACGAGTTTTAGTTACCTTTTCTCTTTTAAACCTGTTTCTACATATCTTTCTTATTTGTGCAGGTGACACCGAAAACATTGGCCGATGTGAAGGGTGGCACTCTTATCTCTTATGAGGGAAAGGTTCAGGTATGAAATTTTTATCCATTGCTAGTACTTTTCTGTCAGTTACAAGGTTATGATATATTGACAACTTTGTATTTTTTCTAAACTTTGGTGGGCACTCCACACCTCTTCAATGTGTGCTTTATCACACCTCTTCAACGGCATGAATTCAATGTTAATGCATCTTCTTTCCCGTATGAGGCAAAATCCTCGATAACTTTTTCAATGCGTGACCATTTTTCTCTTATCTGATGTACTTGTACAGCTCTTGGAAATTGCTCAAGTCCCTGAAGAACATGTAAGTCATGTTTCTATTATTTCACTCCTCCAACCCCCTGCTTTAATATTTAGCTGTCATCTTGTTCTCACTGCTGATAGCAGCTACGTAAAATGTAGCCAGAAATCCCACTTTTATAGTGGCCCAGGATCTAGTGAAAATAAATTTTTTGTACAGTTTATAGTTGACGATTTGGGGTGCTTTCTTTGAAACAGGTCGATGAATTCAAGTCAATAGAGAAGTTCAAAATTTTCAACACGAATAATTTGTAAGTAATGTTACCCCAAATCTTGTAAACACTCATGGAATACGATTGTGTGCCAACAAAAGTACCATTCAGGTGGGTGAACTTGAATGCAATTAAAAGGCTAGTGGATGCTGATGCACTTAAGATGGAAATTATCCCAAACCCAAAGGTATATATTTTTCATATGAAGCTTGGTTGTTCCGAGGTTCCGGTTTTCTGATGCTTAGGTTTGTTTATAGGAAGTGGATGGGGTCAAAGTTCTTCAGCTAGAAACCGCAGCTGGTGCAGCAATCAAGGTACTTAAATCTTTAAAACTCATCTTAGTAAGTTATCAAAAGTCGAAGCTTGATGCAATATTTCTATAGAGATTGATGTTTTAATAATTTTATTACTAATTTTAATGATCCGTTCCTACGACCAGTTCTTTGATCATGCTATTGGTATCAATGTAGCAAGAGCTCGATTCCTTCCTGTGAAGGCAACTTCCGATTTGCTTCTTGTCAAGGTAGCCTTCTTTTCCCGCTACTAGATCTTGAATTTCACAATGACTCGAGGCTTGTCTAACGCATTTATCTTCTTTTGCAGTCTGACCTTTATAACGTAAGAGATGGCTTCGTTATCCGGAACAAATTGAGAAGAGATCCACAAAATCCCGTTATTCAATTGGGGCCTGAATTTAAGAAGGTGAATATTTAATATAGTGATGATCTATTGCCTTTTTCTTTATCGTTCCTACTACCTGATGATGAGTGTGATAATTTTCTTTCCGTATAGGTTGACGATTTCTTGAGTCGATTCAAGTCAATCCCCAGCCTCCTTGAGTGTGATGGCCTTCGGGTTGACGGTGACATATGGTTTGGATCTGGCATTAAACTCAAGGTACGCACTTATAGCAAAAATTTCAATCACCAGCTTCTTGTCTTTCGATGTTTGTGTGAGATATTGATATCTGAATTTTGGTTGGCTTGTCGATGGCGTAAATTAACCTCGTCTTATCTTCCTTACTACAAGACTGCAACATCGATTATTTACCATCCCGTGCTCGCTTATCTCTTTTCATTTGTTTCAGAAACCTTTGAAATCCTGTTGCATGTTTCGCCGAACACATTATCTACTATTGTTCTGTATGGTCTTACTAACGTTGTCTGCCGTTGTTTTTTTACTTAATGTAGGGGAACGTACATTGCTCAGTAAGTTCTGAAGAGATGTTAAATATTCCTGATAACATCACGCTTAGAGAATAGGTAAAACAAGACAATGAATCTAGACCGTCGTATGTTACAAAATATGTTGATGGTCGTCGCTGTTTTATACGTGGTAATTGTGTACTCTAACTGTTGGTGCAGGATATCAATGGCTCTGAGGATCTCGACATTACGCATCAGGAGAGCGTGCTAAAGTTGGAGTCGAGGGAGGGATGGTTGTGCCGTGCTTGTTTACTCCGATGGCGAAATAAAAGCTTTTTGAATTTTTGCTGCATGAGTTTGGTAGTGTTTGCAGGTTACCATGTTAAGCTCTATGGTTTTTGAAGGAAGGAATAAAACTTTAGTTTTATTTTTCTATTTTCATTCTCAGTCGTTTTTTTTTCGTAACACAGTGTTATGTATGATTGAAAAGAAATTATTCTTTTTTTTAATCCATGTATAAGTCTCGAGATTTATACTTGTTTAACGGTAAATAATAAGGTGGTGAGCATTGTCATCACTTAAGTTAAGGGTGGGGAGCACTTGCCTCCAATTTCCACCCCCAATTTAGTCACTTGCGCTGGAGAAATGTAATTAATTTGAGCATTGTAATATATATATATAGGTGCACGACAAGTTTAATATTTTTGCACTGAGTAAATTGTAGCAATGATCCATTAACTTTAATTAAATTGAAGCAATGGTCCCTCAACTAAAAATCCATTACTATTGGTCCCTCAACTTATCAAAATGTGTTACTATAATCATTTTCATCAATTTCGTCAAAATTTTGTCAAAATAAGTTAGGTTGGAATAATCATTTATATAATTAATGTCTCTCAACTCATCAAAGTGTGTAATTATGGTTTTTTTTGTCAACTACGTCAAAATTTTTGTCAAAACGAGTTATGTTGGAAGGACCATTGCTACAATTGGGTTAAAGTTAAAAGACCATTTCTCTAGTTGAATTAAAGTTGAGGGATCAATAGTAATGAATTTTTTAGTTAAGGGACCATAGCTGCACGTTTTGATGAGTTGAGGGACCAATGGTAATGGATTTTTAGTTGAGTGACCATTGCTCCAATTGAATTAAAGTTAAAAGACTATAACTACAATTTACTCTTTTGCACCTTAACTATATCAATAAAATAAGAGTTCCGTTCTGCTAGACTTTACGGTTTAAGAAATTGTGATCACCAAGCATTCGATCTTAATCTAACAGTGAAAGATAATTTATAACGAAAGCACCTACCGTAGGATTAAGATTGTGAGTTTATCAGTACACACTTGAAAAGGGACGTTTAGTAATTTTAAAAGAATTATGGATAAAAATTGGAAAGTGAACGAAGGTGCCATTTAGTTGGACAGCTCGTTTTGTAGGTAGATGGAATTGAGCCTTGGGAATAGAATTGTGTTGACATGGACATGTAAGTTGTAACTCATGTATAAGGATATGTTAGATAACTCACTTTATTACGGATTCATAACATATCATGTTCAATCTTATCCATCTCATATTTGACACAACAAATAAAAGACTGAACTCCAATCCATTTTAATTGGTCTAACCTATCCCAACCAACCCACCAAAGAAGCCGGAATACTTTCCACCAAAAAAAAAATTAGTTTGAAGTCTATGTGGTTAATTGAAAACATATTTAAGGCGAAGGATAAATGCACAAAACTGAAAAACTTCAGTGGCCTTTTTTGCAAATTTCCCTATTATATAAATAAGGACTCTCTTTATTTATTTATTTTGGACGACCGAAAAAAGAGTGCAGTGGTGGTTGTTACTTTTGCTGAAAGAAGATGAGGAACGCGCAACCGGAACCGGCCCAGATTCCGACGAGCTTCGGCCACGAGCTTAGGGCTTGCCTCCGTTGCCGCCTCGTCAAGACCTACGATCAGGTTTTAGGGTTCTACATTTCGTTTTCCTCTTTAATTTTTGTTTTAATTTACAGAGGTTTTAGTGTTTTTGCTGATTGCATTATTCAAATGCAAATGCAGTTCAGAGAACATGGATGCGAGAACTGCCCTTTCTTCGACATGAACGACGACAACGAGCGCATCGTCGATTGCACCACTCCTAACTTCAACGGGTTCGCCGTCTATACTTTCGTTCTCAGAGACGATTTTGATTTTTTTTATGAATCTTTTGTTTCTTTTTCTTTGGTTATCGGAAATTGCATTGCTTGGATTTCAGGATCATCTCGGTAATGGATCCGAGTAGGAGTTGGGCTGCGAGGTGGCTCCGAATTGGTACAAATTTTGTTTATTTCATGATTTTGCATCCACTGAATTATACAGTGATTTTCGACAACCATTTTCAATTTTTTATTTTCTGTAATTTGTGCAATTTCAGTTTGCTTTGGGAATTTGTTCACTTGAATTTCGTTGTTGAGTTGCCTATGCATTCTTTTAACACTTGATATTGTAGTGGCTTACTCTGTAGTTTCTGAAACCCACCGTGCTTGAATTGTTTGCTTTTCGGACTTATAAATGCTCTACGTTATTCGTACAATGTGGCATTGATTTACAAATTGGCTGTGAAATTTGCCCATGTATTTTGGTATTTGGCAGCAAAATTTGTTCCTGGTTGTTACACGCTCGCTGTTTCGGAGACTCTTAGCGAGGACATGAAGGTAACATTAAGCTTTTGCTCTTTTCTTGTAAGATATACAATTTTCAGTTGATTGGGTTGTGACCAATTTGCAAGTAACCTGAAAAGGCTGCCGTAAGACATTAGGAGTGAAACGTTCCAGCTTGTGGAGTGTGTTTAGCGGTCCACTCAGATACGGATGGCTTTTGTATGTGTTTTGTGTATGCATGGTTGAACTAGATTATCATATGCTCACATCTTTAGAAGAAAGATTGCTAGAACCCAGTGCTGGTTCTTTAATTTGCCAATCCCTGAGACGTGCAACAGATCTAATCGTCTAAAAGTTCTTGTACTGGGTGTGGAGGATATTCACGGATGATTTCCATGTGCTTTGTTCACTCGATTGCACTTTCCAAATCCGTAGAGGTCGCTTGTATTGGCATGTTTAGAAGTTCTTGCGCTAATTGAATTGCTGTTGGGTCTTTACACTTTCTGTCTCCATTGTTTTTCTTTGGTCAATCTTCTTATTTGGTTCATCTATTTGCAGAACATGTGCGAAGATGCTCAGATGCAATACGTGCCGCCGAAGCGTGTATGAGCGACGTGATGATCGGACCAAAAAATGAACAAACCCCGTCAGAAACCGTCTGGAAGACTAGAAGCGAATGCCTTTTTTGTTATTTTAAATGAAAACAGTTGGTTGTTAAAACTTGGAAGTGAAGGAACTTTCTGCCAGCGTGGTAAGAACAGCAGCTTGTAATATATTTATTTTTGGGAAAGTATCTCCTTCGGGCGTTTAGCGCAAAATGGTAACAGATGCTCACACCCAATGAATTACACGGCCATTAATATCTTATTAAAGCAAAATTTGCATTTGCATATGATTATGAGAGGGCCAAAATCAATTTCTTTTATAATAGTTACACAAAATTTATCTAAAGTAGGGGGGAGAGAAATTCAAACTTGAGTGCAGATAGTAGAGCACACCGTTTTAGGTGTTTAGTAAATAAGAGATTTACGATATCTTTACTTTTTTAGAACACAATAGGCTTAATTCTATTTACATATAGAACTAAAAAATCACCACATTCTTCTATACTAAAACTCAGCACAAGGTATTTCTCTTTATTTGTAAGTAAGAGGTCTTAGGTTCGATTATCGTTAAAAGAGAATTTGAATCACATTATTGCTAGCCCATTTTGAGGCTTAGCCCACTCTCCACCCCACTATTATAGATAATATCGTTTGTTCAAAAAAAAAAAAAACTCAACACATGATCATTGTTTATTAACAGCGAATGACTCTTTTGCCCCTGTTTTGTTGTTCTATTTACTTTCATTTTTCATCCTACACAGTAAAATTACTAAAAGCTTATTTAAATGTGGTTTTAAAATGACTAAAAGTGTTTTTGGTAAAAATGATTTAGAACCAATCTTTAGTAACAGTGCAAAGTAAATTCTAAAAAAGTACTTAAAAGTACTTCTTGGATCCAAATGAGTTCTAAAATGCTCTGGTGACGAGTTCTAAAATGCTCCGGTGACGTCAATATATTGAGGCCCACATATGATTAGTGAGGCCCACATATTATTTTAGCATCGTGGTTGGGGTTACTAAGAAAGCGGTCATTTCTTTGCTTATATATATTGAACTTCGAAATGGGAGCAAAACATATCTATGGCCGCCGCTGAAGAGCAAAATTATTCTACCTCAAATCGTCTTCTTCATTGAGTATTATCATGGAACGAGGTAGTTTTTTTTCTTTATTTAATTAGTTTTTGCTTTATATTGTTGGGAAAATTAGGAAATTGCTTTACATGTAGTTTCTGAGTTAAGGTTAAAACTTTCACGATTTCTAATGTGTTGATTTAGCGTTTGTTATGAATTGATTAAGTCATACCTATTATGATTTTATCAAGATTTGGTTTGGCATTTGTTTTTATGTTGCGTTGAAAAATGAACTAATATTAATTGATGGTTTCAATGAGTTATTGTATGAATTATTCTTTGTTAGGGAGCTTTAACGAAAAGGGTTTGGGCTAACAAATATTTAATCAAAAATCATCCCAAAATGTTATTTAACCAAAATGGCTCAAAGTTTAATAAAAAATCATCCAAAACTATTGTCCACGGGTCAAACTTACAAGCCCAACCCGCTACAAATCTACACTTTCGTAAATATCCCTAAATGATTCGATATTGTCCTGACTCTTCACCAACCTTAACCTAGCACGAAACCGTCATAATAACTTCATGTCTTCCTATCAAATTGAATTCCCTCATTTCAAGAACAACCAAATAAAAGTTGAAAAATGAAGCATTCAACAGAACAAAGTCGCTGAAACAAGTTCAAAAAAGTTTCATGGCAAAAACTGGCAAAAAAGTGTCTGGAAAAAAATAACCAAAATATAAAACTGTTTCTGGAGAACTCAAAACATAACATTGTTTCTAAAAAGAAAAAATATCAGATATAGTGTTTGTTAAGAAAAGAACCAAAATCTAGAAACAGTGACTTAAATTTTAGAAACAGTCTATGTTTTAAAAACAATTGACTATATTTAACCTTTGACTGTTTCTTTTCTTTCATGCATCAGTTGATTATATTTAAGAAACAGGGAGCTTATTTTTCTTTGAATTCAAATACAGTGAATTCCACTATTTTTTTCTAGCTTATATTTAAGAAACAGTGTGTCTATTTCATTTGGATCCAGAAACAGTGACTTAGATTCCAGAAACAGTAACTTAGATTTCAGAAATAGTAACTTAGATTTCAAAAATAGTAACTTAGATTCCATAAATAATGTTACTTAATGTAACACCCACCCCCTATTTATAAAATATATTGATGTATTTAACCCCTCAACGTTTTCAATATATCTATTTGGTCCTATTTTATCTACCCAATCTGAAATTTGATCTTGGATTCTTTCTCCCTCAAGCTGCCACGTGGCAGCACCCCATTCACTCACCTCACTTCTCTCTCTGTCCCCCCTTGTGAACCCCTCATTTCTTCCTTCTTCTTTTTCGTTTTCTGTCTTCCTGTCTCTCCTTCTCGGCTATCACTTCTCTCCATTCTCTGCACCGCAAGCACACACACGCACAGAGGCACACGAGTGTGCGAGGAAGAACCATCACCCTTCACCATCTCGTCCTGCTCTCTCACTTTCTCTCTCCCTTTCGTTCCCGCGACCCCAGAAAACCGGAAAAGGGACTCCGGCGAGATTTTTCAATCTCCGGTTAGGTTTTTATGACGAAACCACCACGGGTGTAGGCACACCCATCTCCGGCGACTTTCGAGAGAATTTCCAGCCAAACCACGGCGAGTTGGCCGACGTGCAAGTTTCCGGCGAGTCCGACGGCTTTCGAGGCGTTTTCCGGACAAACCACGGCGAGTTAGACGTCATGTGAGGGGCAATTATAGTGGCGTTTCTGTCTTCACTAGCTGCGTGAGTTTTCGACGGCGAAGTACTGTGAGTGGACCCCTTCTAAAATGCATGTTTTATAGTAGAAATGCATACATGAAAAACATGATTTGATGATTACGTTTTATGAAACGTTTTGTGAGATAACATGCTTACTGAGGCTACTTTGAATTATTACTATTTTTCCTATAACCCGTGTTCTTATAGAATATCTGATGGATGACGATATGATATTTAGAACATGTTTCGAACACCTCTTTATAGTATAGATGATGGATGACTTTATACTATGAAGTTGTTTTTCAATATATATATATGTTCAATGGTTTTGTACTTACCTAGTGGTACTTTCCGCTACGGGACATAGGGATAGATTCCGGTCCGTCCCGGGCAACGGTTTGGTGTTGGCATAGGGCCTGGAGTGTGTTTCCTCTGGCATTTAAGACCAGGGATGGGGAGCCGGCAAGGGGCATGTAGTGTATTTTCCTCTGACTGTCTGCTCAGAGACGGGGAGCCGGCATGGGGCCTGGGGGTTATCGGACAATTCACTAGTGATTATTATATATGAGTTATGATTTGAGATACTGCACATCATGCTAGGTTTCGGAAAACCTATGTTTATCATTATATATGTGTTTCCATAAACCTGGGGGTTAGTATGTTGATAACTGTTTTATTATATTTATATCAAATTGGTCCACTCATGTTTGTTTTGCGCCCCCTTCAGGATTTAGGATCGAGGCGTACAATCCCGGCAATCCAGGCACTTCCGCATTGGTATCTTCGAGTCCTCTCGATGTAGGATCCATTCCTTTGTTCATCTAATTTTATATTATTTCCTTTAGTGTTCTAGTTAGTTGTATGCTCTGAACACGTTCCTTAAATGCATATTTATTCTTTTATATTTATAAGTCTTAATTATTCCTTGTTTTCAGTAATTGCACTTAATAAATGGCTTTCGTCACCCTCGGGTGTCGGCCAGCACATGACCATCCTGATGTCCCAAGGATATCGGGATCGGGGCGTGTCAGATTGGTATCAGAGCCTAGTTTGTTCAGAGCATACTTAGGATCTTCTCTTACTAAAGTAGTGTGTCGGTTTTGACATCATTTGGATGTCAGGACTTCTGGATTTGGTGCCATTCGGCGCAGTCGTGCGAATCTTCCTCTGTTTGAATTGTCACATTCGGGTTGATATAGAAGAATTTGTGTCGGGATTGTGCCTCATCGGTGACGTGTTTGAATTGTTGGACGACTTTCAACTTCAGATCGATGCTCTGCGACGTGCATTCCCTGGGAATGACGGGTAGAGTCGGTGTTACCTGGAAGCGGCGTGTTTTAGAAATCTCAGTTTGAGGAAGTCTGGTCAAGACCAGCTGTAAATCCGAAATGGCGATGCCACTCTGCAACATGCGTTCCCTAGGAATTGCGAGCAGAGTCGGCTTTGCATTGAAATCTTGGGAAACGGAAAAATCTTGGTGGTACGAATTGGTTAAGACCAACTGGAGATCTGAAGCGATGATATCACTCTGCAACATGCGTTCCCTAGGAATGGCGGGCAGAGTCATATCTCTTGGAAATTGCTTGAAATATTCGAAATGCGTGCTAAGTAAGCGAGTAAGTGCTAGTGGTGACAACAGTTAGTAGGTGGTAGTTAGTGGGAGCAAATCAATGTTCTCGGACTCATTACCACCGAAGAAATTTGGGTGAATCTTTATAACAATTCTCGGCAATTGTTTTATCGATTACCTTCTTGTTTACTCAATGACGAAGACAAGTTCACTAACCTTTGATCGTTAACTTCACATCAAATCCTTTAAGAATTGACTTCGTCTAGAGATTAAATTTTTTCTTGGGAACTTCTTGGTAACAGACGCTATTCTCACCAAAATCCAAAAGAAGTAGCGATTCTTGTTGTTGCTGTAGTTTGACTTAGATGATGAAAATCCAGATTTGTTTGGATAAACAAATTCCTTGAATTTCACCTAGGTCTGGTACTCGGTGGTAAAATGCCCCTTGTCCTCGTACTTTTGGTAGAGGTAAACTTAACCTCTTGCTTGTAACCCAACTGACCAGTGCTCTTGTCCGTTAACTGTTTAGCCTTGTAATTTTCAGTGTAATGGCTTGAGACTCTACCATATTCATCATTGTATGAAGATCGAGCCTTACTCTAAACTTCTCTGGACTCATTGAGCTTTGGTTTGCTCAGAGGCATCACTTTAAGGTAGCCAATCGTGTCACTGCATGCATACGCGGGCTGCTTCGTATCTTTCTTCATCGTCATTCTGTTGATTCAGAGGTTCTATGTTTAATTTTTGAACTTTGAAACAGCTCTCACAAAGTATTGTGAATTTTGAAATGTCTTTGGCCTCGTCAAATCTTATTAACAGTTCTTAACTATTCTTGAGATTAGACCTGTTCCTTTTGGCTAAGAAACCCGTCAACCTTATTGTGATGATTAGCCAAACAATCATAAACAGTGACTTCTATTTCTGCATCTTCATTTTCCTTTGCTAGTTTGTTTCTCAATGTAAACTGAATCATGCCGGAACAAAAAAAAAAACGTTTGTTCTCGGCGTGGTTTCTCATTCAAATCGCAATATCTTGTGCTCTAGTTTTAATGGACTTGTTTTGACTCTCAAATTCTTGAGTGTTCTTTTAGCCTTCTCGACATGGTTTCTCGCTCAATCAGTAAGGAATTCACGATCGATCGATTCGGCGGAAGTGTGCGCCCAATTCTTATCGTTTTGGACAGGAATGTTGGGAGCATAATCTTTTTACAACTTACCAGGCGTACCAGAAAGAATTCCTTGTGGGTGTGAAGTTTGAGTCGTCTTTTGGTAAGAGACTGGTGAAGATTGTGGTGCGGATGATTAGCATATTGCATCACTATCTTCATGCTGAATTGAATGGTCACCACTCATTATCTTGTTGCAATTCATCACCATCATATCGTACTCTGGTAGATCTTTTCGATGATGTGATGTGTTCGCCTCAACGCACCTCAACGTAGCTTTCCCACTACCTCTCACCAGGATCCTTTAGTTCGAGAGCACGTGGGCATGAGGTTTAAGCGGTCTTTTAGTAAGAGTTGATTGAAGGTTTTAGTGCAGAAGGTCAGCATATTGTATCACCATCTTACTAGAATTCATAGGCATCACATCGGTTATTTTCCAACGATATGTGTTCATCTCAACGCATATTTCCACTGCTTCACTTCTGAACCTTATTGTTGTGAGTAGGTGGATGTCGAAACACTTATAGCAGATCTGTTTGGTGCACTCTGGAATGACACCACCGCGCTGTCGAGGTGAGAATCGGAAGATCTTTAAACTTCTCTTGAATGGGGTGTGCTCTCATGGGGTTTTTACGTTGATCACTTGAGAGTCCTTCTTCTTTCCACCAACTTTGACCTTGTTTGACTAGAAGTCTGCAACTAAGCAAAAATGGAGAGGTGGATTGAGCATTACAACAACTCCCAAGAGATACTGTGTGTTGAGGAAGATGACTTCTCATTTTCTGCTTGCTTGGTTCGAGCTTTTGGGTCTACTACTAACATGGTAGCCACTTCTCTTGAATCCCAATGTACAATTTTCAAAAGGGTTCTTTACTGGTGAAGCACTGGAGTAGTTGGTCACATTTGGAAGAACTGAGGAGGATAGGATGCTTGGTGATGGATAAAGTTTTACAAGGACAGTTCTTATTTTGTTCGGTTTGAGTATGGCACTTGTTGTGGCATGGTACGAGAGTTGGTACATGCAACACTGGTTAGCAGATGAGTATTGTGAACTGGTATTCGGAGGATCGAATTTACGACGTGAAAAAAAAAATTGTGCACCCTCAGGAAATTATTGCTTGCTTATCGAGACAACAAATATGTGATCGATATCACGGGCGGCCGACTGTTGTATCGATAACTTATTCGTTGGGTTTGTTAAGCAAGTGGGCAGGAAGATCCGTCTACGACAATTGTTACAGATTAGCTATTCTTGGGATTCGACCCAAAGACACATCTTTTCTCGAAGCACATGAAGTTACGAATTCTTGGGCGAGACCCACTCTCATTTTTTCAGTTTTGGTTTTCAGTATAAGTATTTTAACTTCATTTACTTTGGTTATTTGTTTTTGGTGTTACAAATGTTTTGAGGAAAGTGTTTTCTGTTTTCAATTTTAAATTCAGCTCGAGTTTTTGACCTATATGTTAGTACATATCTATTTTTGACGCTATAGTATTTTGCGTACTTATTTTTGACCTTATGTCAATATATGTTTTTGACCTTATATCTTATTAAAGTATGTTTTCTACTTTTACACTAATGGGGATGAAAGTAAGAGTTTGGAGGCATGATAGAGGATTTTGCAACCCGTTCGCGACGGTGTGGCATATTCTCTTTGATGCACCCACTCTGACTTGATTTCTCTTTATACATATATTCTTCTTACTATTTTCGAGTTTTTCAGTTTAGCAAGTGATTTTAAATTTCGGGGACGAAATTTTTATAAGGGGGGTAGATTGTAACACCCACCCCCTATTTATAAAATATATTGATGTATTTAACCCCTCAACGTTTTCAATATATCTATTTGGTCCTATTTTATCTACCCAATCTGAAATTTGATCTTGGATTCTTTCTCCCTCAAGCTGCCACGTGGCAGCACCCCCTTCACTTACCTCACTTCTCTCTCTGTCCCCCCTTGTGAACCCCTCATTTCTTCCTTCTTCTTTTTCGTTTTCTGTCTTCCTGTCTCTCCCTCTCGGCTCTCACTTCTCTCCCTTCTCTGCACCGCAAGCACACACACGCACAGAGGCACACGAGTGTGCGAGGAAGAACCATCACCATTCACCATCTCGTCCTGCTCTCTCTCTTTCTCTCTCCCTTTCGTTCCCGCGACCCCAGAAAACCGGAAAAGGGACTCCGGCGAGATTTTTCAATCTCCGGTTAGGTTTTTATGACGAAACCACCACGGGTGTAGGCACACCCATCTCCGGCGATTTTCGAGAGAATTTCCGGCCAAACCACAATGAGTTGGCTGGCGTGCAAGTTTCCGGCGAGTCCGGCGGCTTTCGAGGCGTTTTCCGGACAAACCACGGCGAGTTAGACGTCGTGTGAGGGGCAATTATAGTGGCGTTTCTGTCTTCGCTAGCTGCGTGAGTTTTCGACGGCGAAGTACTGTGAGTGGACCCCTTCTAAAATGCATGTTTTATAGTAGAAATGCATACATGAAAAACATGATTTGATGATTACGTTTTATGAAACGTTTTGTGAGATAACATGCTTACTGAGGCTACTTTGAATTATTACTATTTTTCCTATAACCCGTGTTCTTATAGAATATCTGATGGATGACGATATGATATTTAGAACATGTTTCAAACACCTCTTTATAGTATAGATGATGGATGACTTTATACTATGAAGTTGTTTTTCAATATATATATATGTTCAATGGTTTTGTACTTACCTAGTGGTCCTTTCCGCTACGGGACGTAGGGATAGATTCCGGTCCGTCCCGGGCAACGGTTTGGTGTTGGCATAGGGCCTGGAGTGTGTTTCCTCTGGCATTTAAGACCAGGGACGGGGAGCCGGCAAGAGGCCTGTAGTGTATTTTCCTCTGACTGTCTGCTCAGAGACGGGGAGCCGGCATGGGGCCTGGGGGTTATCGGACAATTCACTAGTGATTATTATATATGAGTTATGATTTGAGATACTGCACATCATGCTAGGTTTCGGAAAACCTATGTTTATCATTATATATGTGTTTCCATAAACCTGGGGGTTAGTATGTTGATAACTGTTTTATTATATTTATATCAAATTGGTCCACTCATATTTGTTTTGCGCCCCCTTCAGGATTTAGGATCGAGGCGTACAATCCCGGCAATCCAGGCACTTCCGCATCGGTATCTTCGAGTCCTCTCGATGCAGGATCCATTCCTTTGTTCATCTAATTTTATATTATTTCCTTTAGTGTTCTAGTTAGTTGTATGCTCTGAACACGTTCCTTAAATGCATATTCATTATTTTTTTATATTTATAAGTCTTAATTATTCCTTGTTTTCAGTAATTGCACTTAATAAATGGCTTTCGTCACCCTCGGGTGTCGGCCAGCACGTGACCATCCTGATGTCCCGAGGATATCGGGATCGGGGCGTGTCACTTAAAATCCAGAAACAGTTTATTTTTACAGTCCAGAAACAATGACCCGTTGTTATTATTAATAGCATGCTGATCTTCAATTTATTTTATGGAGAAACAAACGATGAACTCCACTGACGAAGAAAAATTGAAAAACAGTACCTCCAATACACCATGAATAATAACAACGATCACATTTCAACGAAAGAATACAAAATTAATTAAATAGCATGAGGATCTATATTTTTGTTTCAAAGAAAAAGAAGAAGGCCTGCAAAACAACGATGAACTCCATTAACGATGAAAATTTGGAACTCAACCTAAAAAAGTTAGGGGTAAAATTGACAAATCAGAATTTATTATAGTTGGGTTATTTTTAGTTGAACTACTTTAATATGGGTCTTGTACTAATCATTAAACAAAACTTATAACATGATATTTTATTAAAATTAAAAATTTTCAAGTCATTTTCATTAGCTTTTCTGTTTTTTAATGGAGACTTACAACAATTGTATTTTCATACAGAAGTGTAACTCCTTTGAGTATTTCTCTCATGAATTGGCTGTATATGGTAGTTTTCTTTGCGGTTGTTGGGTGTATTGGAACCAACCGATTTTGGTTTGATTCATTCAATCATCAAAGCCTACATATGACAAAATAAGTAAATGTTTACTAGGGTTGATAACTCAAAGCATTACTTCAAGATCGGTGATCACGGATGTTTCATATAACTTCGTAAAAGAGAGAGTTTGCTTGTCAATCTCGAACTTGGAGCCTTCTATCTGTGTGTATGATTGAAGACATGCGTAATGGATACTCCAAGGTGAGTTCATCTCTTCAACCATGTAATTAGATCTAAATCCTAAGTAATACGGAGTACATGCTTGTCAAGCTAATGGGAAAGGCCAAGTAAATGCAATTTCTTTGTTTGTGTGAATTGTTTGTTTTTTGCACTTTGGGATATACTTATCCCTAAGAATTATAACGGGGCTGTATCATTGATTTGATCTTTGAAAAAACCATCATTAGCAATTATACAGAGTTGTAGCTCGAGTAGAATTATGCATGACCTTCATTCATCTCATGACCAATATCGCTTTGGAGGAAAATGAAAACAAAATAGCAACCTTAGCAAAAATATAAACAAAATGAAAACAAATTTTGGAGGAAAAACAGCTCTTTCCTTACAAAAATGCCGGTTGATATATCCAAATGAACTTTCAAAACGAGTCTTAAACAGTCAGAAAATTAAATTTCTTAGTCTTATGAGGCTAGTTTTGTTCCTAGCATGTGTTAATCCAAGCCAGAACATTTGAGGGCAACTTTTATTTTTGTAACGGTGGAACTGATAAGAGTATTGACAGTTGCCACTAACTCCATGTTCATCTGCTCTGAAGTTGTGGGGCTGGAAACCAATATGTGGAAAGCCACTGTAACAAGTGAATCACATGCATCCCCCATCTCAGGACGACCATCGCCGGATATCAAAAACCCCGATGGGAGTATAGCTATGTTCGATGAGTCTTCCCCACTTACTGCTACATTGAGAGTTTGTATGTCAACTGGAGCGTATATGATAAAGGATCCAAGAGGGTCTATGTGGCACTCTTGAAGCATCAACATGTTGTCCTCCGTCGGGATGAAAGGCTGCTCAATACACAAACCATTAATTCAATAAAACTAAACTTTGTTGAAACGAAAATTGTTAAAATAAACATCATAAGACTGAAATGTTTTACCCGAATGATGGATATATGGTTTTCGGGATGAGTTCCGGTTGAAATGTAGGCAATCTCTTGCACTGGGTTTCCATGAGAGAGAACATCCCACTGAGAGAAAAATCAAATTAGGTATTAGTAAGGTCACATTTCAACCTTTAATTATTGATAAATCAAGATATAAACCTGAATTCTTGTTTTCTCATCTCTTAAGAAGTTAAAGATAGTTTGCGACGACAAAGGGAGCCAGAGAGAAGTAGCAACACTGACGATTGTGCCATGCGGTTGTCCAATTTCTGTGCTTTTATGAACAGAGACTCGAACGCCACTGCTTTCAACTTCTGACAATTGGGGGAAGTCAAGTTTTCCCTCCATGCTCAACATTCCGCAAAAGTTCTTCACCATCCTTTGGGAAAGCTTCATTAGGCTCTTCTTGCCTTCAGGCAAAGTAACCACTAGACAAAGGAAAACATGTTTCACCAAAACTCAAAAGTAGGCTCCTCTTGCCATCTTTGTATTATTATTTTCTAGTTTTGAATAACATAGGAGGTGATTGATGATACTTACCTCCTCCAAACACACAAGTAGAACCAACATCGTCCATCAAACAATCGAATCTCTCACACATCCTTTGAAGAGTAACAACCCATCTCTCAGCTCCATATGCAGCACTACTACAAATTAGATCTCTATAGAGCCGATGAGTTTGTGTCTTGTCGTCAACCTCCATATGCTCAATCCAAGTAATCTATTATTTTCCAACTTAATACTTTAAAAACGATTCTACCAACTATAAACAAACCAGAATTATTGTACATGAATGCTTTTTTATGAAGCATGTAATGCCATGAAAATAATAATCGTGTACTATCTGCTGTTGATATGTATGTATTCTATGTAATTAACCATTGATTATTGAGGCTAAAGTATATATAGCTCTAGGTATTCTCTTGGCTTTTCCCCACTAGATTAACAAGCATATCTCAGCACTAGTGTATCATGTAGACCTAATTATATGGTTAAAGAGATGAAGCAAACCGTGGCGTATCCGTTATGCATGTCTTCTATCATGCATCCAGATGGTAGCCTCCAAGATTGAGGCTGTCTGGCAAAACTCCCTTTTGCGGAGTTATATGAGACATCAGCGATTACCCAAGTTCCTGGCTCAGTTTGTTGACAATGGCGAAGAAAGTAGAAATCCCGTGGCAGCACCAAAGGTGAGAGAATGTGTATTTGTTCATACATCTGCATTAAAGAAATTTGAAATGTATGAATAGGAGTGATAAAATGTATAGGTAAATAATCAATCAACTTAACCAAACAATTGCTTTTTATGCACCAGCTGCAAGCAACCATTCCGATTTCTTGACATTCCAGTTTCGAGTACTTCAATTGTCTTTGCTGTTGTTACGATTGTTGGAAAGAGTTCTTCCCATTTGTTCTGCAAAACCAAGTTGGTTTTTCTTAAACTTCTTTGCATCATTAATTTTAAGTTTAGTTCGTCAGTATATATAATAAATAATGAAAATACGAGTTATAGAACTTACGGAATCTAAAAACATGTCAACCAAGTGTGCTGCACTTATGTGCACTACTCCTGAATCTTTCGAAGACTCGACCCGAGCACGAGAGTTTTTGAAGTGTTTGGCTTTTGGAAACATCTTATCATAGTTATCACGGTTGAGGAGATATCTGCCATTAGTTGGGGATTTGATCCATATGGGCTTTTCGATCTGGAAAAGCTTGAACAGTTCTTCCATGGCACTGGCTGCAATGTCTTTCATGAGTGCCTTTTCCATTTCGGCATTTTCATTTAATTGGTAAGCTAATGCGGGATTCGTAGGACTGAGATTAAGAGGTGGTCTGGCTATCACTTGGTTCATGGAACATCCTGGCGATAAATTTAGCGATGATCCAACTACAGGTGTTGCATTATACTTGGGTAGAAGGTTGGCTAACTTATCATGCTGCATAAAAAATATAAGCCTAATCAGACATCATTGTAGTGAAGAAACATGTACAGCAAAGATGTGATAGAATGGTAGATTGTAGTCATAGAAATAGTTTATGTTTCAAATATTTACCTCTTGTTTCAAATAGGAATTCTCCAGTTGAAGTCTCTGCAAACAGGTTGGACAAACGACATTCTTTAAGGCTTCTTTCATTACAAAGTTTTCACGTCGAATATTTTCATTCAACTGACGGAGAGCAGTGGTTTCTGCTGTCTCAGTTTGCGCCTGAGAAATACCATGTAAAGAAAATCCAGGGGAACAGATTCATTATAAAGTAAGAGAGATGAAAAACAAATTGGTAAAGATTGTTTGAATAGAGAAAGCTAGAGAACCTTGATTTGGGTTCTTTTGTTTTGAAACCAAAACATGATTTGGTTTGGCTCCAGCCCCAGTTCCCTACATAGCTGTTTACGCTCATTCTCATCTGGATGGGTGCAGTTCATGAAAAATCTGCACCCGACAGAACCTTCGTTAGGTTAGTGATTCCGGTCAGGGGTTAAGAGCTCATAAATCAAATTCAACCAAGTTCATGTAGAGATTATCAGAGATTAAACAACATCCCATATAAATTCATCAAACTAGTTCGTATATATGCAAATACATATAGTAGAACTGTTTTTAAGGAAAATGATCTAATTTCATACTCAATGGAGGAAGAAAGAAATATATATCCATATGTATTTTTTTACCAATCATGCATGTTTTGGTCATTGAAGATTTAGAACATGAACATAATAAAGTTGAGTAAAAAGTACATAAATTAATTAGAGGTTAGTTCTTACTCTTCCAGTCGTTGTATCTGCTCAGAAGTATGGCGTTGACGCTTCTTGTTCCCCTTGCGGGAAGTCGATGCTTCATGTCCATCACCGGAAGATTGATAATTTCTCGGGAGCTCCATTCTCTACCACACTAAGCAAACACAGTCGCACAAGATAAATGTTTTTCTTTCTTAGACCGTAAAAGAGATATAGGAAGACAACACAAACTCACAGACATATATATAGTAAGATATTTAGTTCATATATTTCATCCAAACAATATACAAATTAATAAAAATGTATATATCTATTTATGTTAAGTTCAAATAAGGACACCAAATTAATACCAAATGATGTTAAGTTCAAATAAGGACACCAAATTAATACCAAATGAACCCAATTAAGAAAGAGATATCTATGCTTATTTGGATTTTATGGTTCTCGGTTGTCCTAGATTTTCTTCCTTATTAATTTGTGTGACTTAAATTTTTGAATTTATTTTTGTTTCACATTAGAGTACTTAATTAGTAATTAACTACACACAACTAAAACGGAAAATGAAGGTGCAAACAAAATACCAAATACTTTTCAAACAAAATATAGAATTCACATTACTTTCCCAACTTCCCTGTCAAAATGGCGGAGCTACTAAAAGTCTTGGATACAAGCTCGCATTCCTCTGAGACTGCATTAATCATGAACAAGACCTTTTTGACTGAGAAATGAATTCATCTTTTCTTTTCATTTTTGCTTGGATTTTTTTTAAATATTTATATTATTAAAGTAGAAGGGAGGATTCGAAACTGTTATATTAATTTAGAAAAAAAGAGAGATTATCGAACTCGAGATGCATGGGTAAATCCCCAACACCATATCGGCTAGAATAGGATCGCAATTTATTTTTGCATGGATAAACATCGTTACATTTGAAAGTTTTACTCGGGTTATCTCAATATTTTTGTATATAGTCTAATATCCTAGTTGATAGAGTATTAAATTTCCACACAATTTATTCCGTTAGAGAACAAATGACCACTACCATTACCACTACAAACACTTACCTTACACAGCCACAACCATTATCACAACCATTGTTGCTACTGTCACGACTACCACAATCGTCACTAACGCCACCACCACAACCGTAAGTATCACTAAAACCACAACCGCCAACACCACAACCACCACCACTGTCGCTGCCACTACTCCTATCACCATTATTTCCCCTACACCCCAACCATCACACCCCATTAATGGAACCACTATCATACCCATTGTTGCCATTACCATCATCGTTACAAACCACTACCCCCTCCACCGTCCATGTCACCAACACTCCATTATCGTGTCCATTTTATCATTATATACAATTATATCACTTTTATATTAAAATTTACCAAACATTTTTACACTTTTTTTATACTCACGACACTTTTAAAAATACGGTTTAACAAAAGCTCAACAACTTTATGTTATAACTAATTACTCTTAAACACAGTAAAAAACAATAAAACATAACAATCCCAAACTGACCGTTATTGTCAAACTTGTTGCTTTGTTGCAGATGACGTTTTATCGCAGTAACAAAAAGTAATCATGCATATGCACCTTGGTGCATGTTCAATCCAGGTCAATTTCCATTCCCCTTAATAACTAATGGTCTCACCCACCAACTCTATTGCTGTACTTAAAATTGCTATGTCCTTTGGTAACTGTTGAATAAAAGCATCTATACTCTAGTCATGCTCTTTGTTGCTGTAAGGCTAGAAACCTATTTTAGAAACTACTTAAAAAGTTTTAAAAGAAATTTCAATACAAAAGGTTCACAATATTCTGAATATGGAAACGGTTTGATATGAAATTTTCTTGGTTAGAGTTGCAGCCTTGTATGCGGCGAATTGTAACGGGCTTGTAGCTCAGGCAACAAAAATTATATACCCCACGGTCAATATGCATTAGATGACAAAGCTTATGCAAAAAAAATAACTAAAATAGCAGCCTTAAGCAAAAAAAATAACTAAAATAGGAGCTTATACATAGCCAATTATTCAACAAGAAATTCAAACGGGGTCTTAAAACAGTCACAAAGATTGAATTCACAACCTTCTCCAACGAAACTAGTTTTATTCTTAGCATAAGAATTACAATTCCACCGCAAATAGGTTAATCCAAGCTCGAGCAGTTGAGAGCAACTTTGATTTTTTGAACGGTGGAACTGATGAGAGCGTTGACAGTTGCCACCGACTCCATGTTCATCTGCTTTGAAGTTGAGGGACTGGAAACCAATATCTGGAAGGCCACTGTAAGAAGTGAACCACCTTCCTTGGAATGTCCTGAATCCCCAGTTATTTCAGCACGACCATCGCCCGATATCACAAACCCCGATGGGAGGATAGGTATGTTGGAAGAGTCCTTGCCACTTACTGCTACGTTAAGAGCTGGCATGTCGACTGGAGCATATACGACTAAGGATCCCAAAGGGTCCGTGTAGCTCTCTTGAAGCATCAGCATGTTATTCTCGGTAGGGGTGAAAGGCTGCTCCACAGAAACCATTGAAATAAATCAAACTGAACTCTTTATAAAGCCAAAAGCATAGGTAAAAATATTTTTCTCATCCTTCTAGCATTTGAAGTAGCATCAGTTCAACTTTAGTTTCCCCATATTTCCGGAATAATATATTTCGGAAAGAAGAAAAAATGGAAGAAGGAAATGAAACTACCCGAATGACAGATATACAGTTTCCGGGATGCGTTCCGGTTGGAATGTTTGCAATCTCATGCACTGGATTTCCATTTGACAGAACATCCCACTGAAAGAGAAATCAAATTAAGGTATCAATCATATCACATTTCAACCTCTAATTATTTGGAATGAAGATAAAAACAAAATGAGTAGGGATCTTTTTGTTAGGTAAAAACCTGAACTCTATTTCTCTCATCTCTGAAGAAGCTAAAGACGGTTTGGGACGGTAGAGGAAGCCAAAGAGAAGTAGCAATGCTGACAATCATGCCATGGGGCTGTCCTGTTTCTGTGCTCTTACGAACAGAGACTCGAACCCCACTATTGTTCACTTCGGACGACTGAGGGAAGTCAATTTTACCTGCCATGCTCAGCATTCCACAGAAGTTCTTCACCATTCTCTGAGAGAGCTTCATTACACTCCTCTTGCCTTCTGACGAAATAACCACTAAACAATGGAAATAAGGCTCATCAAAATCCAAAAGCGTTACAAAATGATCCGGACAAAAAAAGGGAACAATAAAGGATTACTTAACATTAGAGAGTTTTCTTTTCCATTTTGGCAAATATCAATGTATTATTTTCTAAAAGGGAATTAAGGAAGACTTGCCTCCTCCAAACTCACAGGTAGTTTCAACTTCGACCATCAAGCAATCCAATCTCTCACACATCCTCTTAAGAGTAACGATCCATCTCTCAGCTCCATATGCAACATTTCTACATATAAGATCTCTGTAGAGCCGATGGGCTTGTTTATCAACCTCCACATGCTCAATCCAAGTTACCTACGATTATTGCAGTCAATATTTATGAAACAATTCTTTAAAATTAGGAATATCATATAAGAATGTGTATCGGATGAAGCATGTAATGTCATGAAGATAGCGATTGTGAAAAGTAAATAATTGTGATGTCGACGGAGCCTGAACAACATTGATAATTGATGGGAAAGTATAAATGTTGCTGCATGACAAGAGCAAGATTGTTAAAAATGTATTAAACTAAAGAAATTGGAAATGTGAGGTATTCTCTTGGTTTTTCCCGTTGGCTTGACAAACGTATTCTCAGTAATAGTAAGCCTGCAGATCCAATTATAAATGCTTATGCTAAAGAGATGAAGCTACTCACCCTGGAGCAGCCGCATGAAATATCTTTGATCATACACCCCGAAGGAAGCCTCCAAGATTGTGATTGATTTGAAGAACTTCCTTTGGGGAAGTTGTGGGAAACATCAACAATGACCCATGTGCCTAGCTCAATCTGCTGACAATAACGAAGAAAGTAGAAATCCCGTGGTGCCACCAAAGGTGAGAGAATGTGCATTTGTTCATACATCTGCATTAAAGAAATTGATTCGTATAAGTATTTGTGACAAACTATAGGAAAATAATTAATTAACTCAACAACGCATTGGCTTTCATATGTACCAGCAGTAGGCAACCACTCCGGTTTTTCATCATTCCACTTTCAAGTACTTCAATTGTCTTTGCTTTCGTAACGATTGTGGGAAAGAGTTCTTCCCATTTATTCTGCAAAAATAAATCGTTTTTCTTGACCTTCTTTGATCATTCCAGCAATGTAATATTACTTTCTCAGTATATATTGGGAAATAATGAAAGAATGAGTTATAGAACTAACAGAGTCTAAGAACATGTCAACCAAGGTTGCTGCATTAATGGCCACTACTCCTGAATCTTTCGAAGACTCAACACACGCACCAGAGGTTTTGAATTGATTGGCTTTAGGAAATAACTTATCATAGTCGTCACGGTTGAGAAAATATCGCCCATCAGCTGTGGATTTGACCCACAAAGGCTCGCCAATCTGAAAAAGTGAGACCAGTTCTTCCATAGCACTGGCAGCAATGTTCGCCATGAGTGTCTTTTCCCTTTCAGGGATTTCTTGTATTTGGTAAGCTAATGCAGGGCTGGTAAGATTGAGATTAAGGGGCGGACTTCCGATAATCCCTTGGTTGGTGGAACATGATAAATCCAGCGTCGATCCAACTACAGACGCCAGAGATTCAATTTGATGGTGGTTTCCCTATGTATTTGGAAAGAAGGCTGGCTACCTTATCATGCTGCAAGACATCATTAAAGCGAATCCATATATAAACACAATCAACAATAATTAACAATAGAGATCTTTAAGAATGATCGAATCTACGGATGAGAGATTATGTACATTCCAAATACTTGCCTCTTCTTTCAAATAGGCATTTTCCAGCTGAAGTCTCTGCAGACTTAGCTGCCGAGCTTCTTCTCCAAATGGTGGACCACCGCAAGTTGGGCAAAGGACACTCTTTAAGGCCTTTATGATTGCATAGTTTTCCCATTGAATCCTTTCATTGTCTTTACGAAGAACAGTGTTGTCTGCGCTCTCATTTTGAGCCTAAAAATTACCAAGCATGTTATATATGCAATATAAAATATAAGATCTAAACATCCAAGTCGTTAGAGTAGGAAAAATGGAAGACCTGGGTCTGCGTTCTTTTGTTTTGGAACCAGAACTTGATTTGTCTTGGCTCAAGCCTTAACTCCCGGCTCAGCTGTTGACGTTGGTTGTCATCTGGGTGAGAGCAGTACTTGAAAAATCTACATCCAAGAGAACCCCGTGTTTTAATTTTTGCAGAGAAAAAGCCACATCAAATTGGAGAAAAACAAAGATCAAGGCGTAATATCTACTGTCAAAAAACATCAAAATTCAATGGATAATTGAACTGTTAACCATAAAAGAACAATATGCAGTCAATTACAACTTTTGGCAGCTTGAAGCAAAAGGTATAAGACAAAGAATTACTTGCAGATTAGTCTAAAAAAAGGTCGTACCCAGTGCACAAGGCTTCCGCTTTACGCAGGGTCTAGGAGAGGTGAATGTCGGCTAGCCTTACCCTCATTTATGGAGAGGCTGCTCCCAAGTCTCGAACCCAAGACCTACCGCTCATGGACGAAGACACTTGTCATCGCACCAAGTGCCTCTTACTTGCAGATTAGTCTATGTACGAAAAATTAAAATATACAAAACAAGTCCAAGACATTTCAAACAAGCATTGATCTGGGATCTGTAGCAAATTTTATGGCTGCTTGAAAAAGAAAAGTCTCTAATTAACTGATTTCGAAGTGAGCATTTAATTCATGAAAAAGATGATATCGACGTAAGTATTTCTCTTTTTTTGGTTTTCGGAGGAACAGATCAGATGATATCGACGTAAGGAACAATCATGTATTGGTCATTCAACAACATTCAGAAGATAAATTAATTGGAGGTTGTTTCTTACTCTTCAAGTCGTCGTATCTGCTCCGTAGTATGACGATAATAATTCTTGTTGCCTCTGCGGGAATTCGATGCTTCACGTCCATCACCTGAAGCTCCACCATTTCCCTGAAGCTCCATTCTCTACCACACTAAGCACACACAAAATCACACAAAGCAAAAGCTTTTCTTTCTGAGAGCAAAGAAGAGATACACACCCAAACACATACATACACATATATAGTGTGAAAATTAATTTACAGATGCCATCCAAACAATATGCAGATAAAATACATGAATTTCTTAGGCTGGTCAAATCCAAATAAGGATATGAAATTAATACCAAATTGACACAAATTACCAAATGAGTAATGAACTAAGCCCAATTCACTGCTAAATTAGAAGATGAGATCCACGAGAATCGAGGGGGCTCTGTGCTCTATGAAGCAAATTACCAAAAGTGCAGAAGGTATTTCAAACAAATATAGAAGACACATTACTTTCCTAACTTTCCCGCCAAATGGCGAAGACAGTAGAGTCTTGGCTGCACGTTCAGATCCCCTCAGACCACCATTATGAACAAGTTTAACCTTTATGGAGAAACGGATTTTTTTTTCTTTTCTTTTTTTTTATAAGGATAAACATCATTAAATTTCATAGTTTCACTCGATATATTTCCCAAAATTATCATTTTCTTATGAATTACTAGTTACATAAGTGCCGAAAAACACGCGTCAATCAAGGTTATATATATATTTTGAAACCGTTTACGGAGCCGCCAAATATACATGCTAGTGTGTCACGTTATAAAGACGCAATGACAAAGATAGAAACATGGTTGTGTATAACAATTGATAAAAAAGTAATTTTCTGAGTGGATGACGTGTTGAGATATAAGCTTTGTGGAGATTTCTTCTACGCTACGGAATTGAGGTTTTTTCTTCTTGTTGTTGTTCATGGTTTTTATTTATTTCATGCAACGTTTCCAAGCAGGAACTGCTCCCTTCCTTGAGCTCCCTATCAGTGCGTCATGTTTTTATTCTTGTTGTAATGGCCGGCTAGGATTAGAACTAGCTCATAGGCTAGATTGATGCCCGCTGTTATAGCAACTTAGTGGATTAAAATGTACACGTGAGTTGACTCATGTAATAGACGCGAGTGGAGTTGCAACGGTCATCTCCCTCATTCCTCTCTTAGCGTAATCAAATCCAAGGAGCAACGTACTCGTCCTTTCTTCAGACACCAAGCTTATCAATTTCTTATTGATTTTCATCAGTAATTCTTAAAATTAAAACTCTAATCCGAATCCAAAGTACTAACTCGCGCTCAATAATAAGTTATAAGCAGCTTCATCATTTAGTGACCGAGGTTCGACAACTAAAACTGTTGGCCGCTGTTTAGCACTAATCAAATTGTTTTGTTTTGAAAGTTGTTCGATACTACGACTTTAAGTTATGCTAAGGGAGGAGGGAAAGAGAGGGTTGAACCCGAGATGTAGTAGGTTAAAAAGAAAGGCCATATCAACCAGGACACTGGACAGTCCGCTACTTGCATGAGGGGGAGAGGGGGTTGAACCGCAACTTGCTTGCTTATAGTAACTCATGCAATTAGCGAACAGTCCGCTCCTATCATTTACCAAGCTTATTTTTATATTAAACAAATTTATTCATCAGTGTCGAACCTCGATTCAAATGCTAATGGAAACGTTGGAACTCGATGAACTGTATACTTTGACAGTTTTATGACGATTTGAGTCATTACCAATACCTAATTAGGCGTCAAGGAAATCGAAAGTTTGAAAATGATTAAGAAAAAAGATGGGCAAATTACATTTTACCACCTCAACTTTAGGTCATACAAAAAACTCAAATCTCATCTTTTGAATATTGTAATGTCATACATCAACTTACAAATCCATTGAAATTTCAAACCTGCATTAAATTTTCTGTCAATTTAACTGTTAAATGATGATGACAAATTTGATAGCCACGTAAACAAATATGTGGAGTCTACATTTGTCACGTCATCTATCAAACGCATGCTTTATGTGAACGTGAAAGCAAATACTTGATGAATGATATCATACCAACGAAATAACAACTCAAATTGGCAAATAAGCCTGTTAGTTCGAAAGACGACCCATCGCCCGACCCACATCTCCTCCTACCCCATAAATTTATGTTCTCACAAAATTACAAAAGGAGTATACTTCCTTTATGTCTGCCAACATTTTTGGTCTGGAACTGAACTGATGTCAACTTGTCAAAATCCCCGGTCTTGCATTTGATGCGGAGAGAGTGGAGCAAATTGATGCTGTTCCTTTGCAATATCCGAAACTTCTTTTACCTTGATCCAGAACAGAAAACAGTGAAAACACCGAATCCCTTTCTCCTCATTGGATATCTTCGAAATCCTCTTCTTTGTGTTGGGGAATTGGCAAGTTACTTGTCTGAAATGAGCCTACTTGTCCGGTTCCATCTATCATCATGGAGCGAACTATCTGCATGTACGTTTAAGAACTGTTGAGTTTCTTCCTAAAAGACAGCACACTCCATTTCATATCCCACCTTCAAAGATAACTATGAAATTCACGCAAAGACAACATTGAATATTTCATTAAAACGTATGAACATTGAGGTTTTGTACATTTACTCCTAGTTCCCCTCAAAACAGATAATAGCACCAACTTTCCTCAATAAATTTTTGTGACTATTTGAAAACATAGTATGATGAATTAGGGATAGGACTTGCCTCTTGTCTTGTTACATACATTAATATGTTGAACTCGACCATCATATTATGTTCATAAATTCATAATTCACAGTATTGACGGCATATGATAACCACATTTTCATTTTATTCCTTTCACATACTGAACGAAAACGAAGCAAAGTATACCGTCCAAACAATGCAGGTTACTTGACCACTCGAAATACACAACCAGAAACAATGTATTGATTAAGTAAAAAATCTGGAGTATAGCATCAAGTTTCAGTTAATATGAGAAATCAGAAAGACCACCTTCTCTATTTCATCAAGAAGAAGAGGGTTCTCTCTTAAGTACTGCAATGCTTTGTCTCTTCCTTGTCCTAACTTTTTGATAAAAATAAAAAATAAAAAAATAAAATCTGAGAAATTAGACCAAATATATGTTGAGAATTAAGCTGCCTCCTTGCTTTAGAGGTATCCTGCAGAAGGTAATCCTGCAGATGAAGTCAAAAGGAAGCAGGAAAGTGTGAAGAAATGAAGACCTTACTAAAATTAGAAGGAGCTTTTTAATTTTCAACAGCTAGTTTCTTCCCCTGTTTTTAGAAAGATTACAGCTGGTGTTTAATCTTTTATTTGTACTGAGCATTCTCATCTTCCTCCAAGTGGATGGATGATATCCTCTGATAACCATTTATGATCGGAGAAGAGTACTAGGCCTCTAGATGTAGTCTCTGGTTTTTAGACCGGCTGTGAAACAAAAAGATATAGTCTTTGTAATTTGTTTTTTGGATATCAAGAAAATATACAAAGTGACTCTTGCTCTTCTGTTTTCTCTCGAGCCAAAACAAACACAAAATTTCGTCAAACCTTTATTCAAGTTTCAATCTTTATCAACAAAAAACAATATGCCTGGTACCATTTCAAACATGGTATCAGAGCTCTTGGTCTGATTCCGAAGAAGGGCGTGATACTGTGGGTGAGATCTAGCTCCGAAGGAAACCCAGAAAATCTTAAAAGGTGGTTCCTTTGTTGGTTGATTCACTGATACTCACTAAGAAATGGTGGGATCGAGTTCTTCCGGTGGAGATTTACGAACTCCACAGTTTGATGGTGCAAACTACGATTTTTGGGCTGTCAAAATGGAAACAATCCTCATAGCACATGATCTATGGGATGTGATAGAACTCGGAATACAGCCGCAGCAGACTCCCGAGGAGGAAGAAGGTTCTGTAGATGAAGGAAGTGAGGCTGAGCACACACTCCAGTAGAAGCACCCACTATCTCCAAAGAAGACAGAATAAAAAACGCCAAGGCGTTAAGCCTCATTCAGGGAGCCATAACTGATGAGCTCTTCCCTCGCATCAGAAATGAGAAGACTGCTAAAGGAGCTTGGGAAATTCTGAGAAGAGAGTTCAGAGGAGACAAAAAGGTAAGAGCTGTTAAACTTCAAGCCATTAGAGCTGAGTTTGAATATCTGAGAATGCATGATGGTGAACCCTTAGATGACTACTTGGCTAGGTTTTTTGAGATAGTGAATAATCTGAAATCACTAGGTGAGGATGTGCCTGAGAAAAGGATTGTGCAGAAGCTATTAATGAGCTTAAATAGAAAGATACAAATCCATAGTGTCTATAATAGAGGAGACAAGAGATCTGGATGTTATAAGGGTTGAGGAAGTCTTGGCCTCGGTTAAAGTCTATGATAAAAGGGAAGACCTGCATGATGAAAGGGACAAGGTTACTGGTACTGAGAGGGCATTTAGTAGTCTAAAGATTGGAGGTAGTGTTCATGGTAGTACTAGTGGAAGTTATAAAGGTGCACAGAGTAAACAGAACCATAAATGGCAACAAAACAAGAAAGGAAGAAATTGGTCACAAAGCAGTAACTGGAATGGGCAATGGTAACTCTAGTTGGAACAATCAAAATGGTGGAAGTTGGGGAAATAGAAGCACTTTTCAAAGCAAACAAGGAAGCAGTAGTCAAGGTGTCATGAAACCACAATGTCAAACTTGTGATAAATATCATTTTGGCATTTGTAGGTATAAGGGAAAACCAAAATGTTTGGCAAGTGTGGCAGATTTGGACACACTGCAAAGGATTGTAACAATGACAAACAGGTTGCTAACTATGCAAAAGAGGAAGGTGTGACCAATGGCACAATGTTCTATGCCTGTCACGCAGCATCAACATCTCAGGACAGATCCGTGTGGTTTGTTGATAGTGCCTGCAGCAACCACATGACTTCTCAAGAGTCTTTGCTACTAAATCTTGACAGATCAATTACCTGCAAAGTTAAAATGGGGACTGGCGATCTGGTTCAAGCTACAGGCAAGGGAACACTTGTAGTAGATACAAAGCATGGGAAGAGATACATTAATGAAGTTCTGTTAGTTCCAGGATTAGATGAAAATCTCTTGAGTGTTGGTCAAATGATGGAACACGGTTACTATGTCCTGTTTGGTGGTAATATGGCTATAATCTTTGATGACAGCAATCTTGAAAATGTGGTAGCCAAGGTAACTATGGCTGGAAATAGGTGCTTTCCATTGTCCTTGGAATCTATAAATCCAGTAGCTAAAAGAGCTTCAATTGAAGAAGGGTCATGGATCTGGCATAAAAGGCTGGGTCACTTGAGTTTTGACAACCTAAAAAAATTGCAAAGAGAGGGAATGGTACTTGGTTTACCCGAGCTATCAGAAATGAATGAAATCTGTGAGAGTTGTATTGCTGGAAAAATGCACAGAGAACCATTTGATAAGGAGAAAGCATGGAGAGCAAGCCATCCACTAGAATTGGTACATACTGATGTCTGTGGACCAATGCAAAATGAATCCATTGGTGGGAACAGGTACTTCATCACATTCATCGATGACTATTCAAGAATGTGCTGGGTGTACTTTCTTAGAAACAAATCTGATGTGTTCAATGTATTTAAAAAATTTAAAGCCTTTGTGGAGCTACAAAGTGGTTTCAAGATTAAGAAGCTGCGAAGTGACATGGGAGGTGAATATACATCTCATGAATTCTTAGATTTCTGTTCTAACACTGGAATGGAGAGGCAATTAACAGTTGCATATTCCCCTCAGCAAAATGGAGTTGCTGAAAGAAGGAATAGAACCATTGGTGAAATGGCAAGGTCAATGATGGCCGAGAAGAATATCCCTGTAGTTTTTTGGGCTGAAGCAGTTGGAGCTGCAGTATACTTGCAGAATAGATGTCCCACAACCTCAGTGAAGGGCAAGACTCCATTTGAAGCCTTCACAGGTAGAAAACCAGGCATAAAACATTTGAGAATGTTCGGATGCATATGCTATACACACATACCTTCACAGCTAAGAAAAAAGTTTGATGAAAAGGCAAGAAAAGGTATCTTTATGGGGTATGGAAGCTGCGAAAAAGGGTATAGAGTTTATGACCTGCAGTCCAAGAAAATAATCCTCTCCAGGAGTGTTGTATTCAATGAGGATCAGTGTTGGAGTTGGGAATACAGGCAAGTTGAAAACACTGTGATGTCCCTAGTATTTGAGAATCAAACACATGGTGGTGATGTGCAGGAAAGTCCAAATGAGACTCAGGTTGAGACTGCTCAAAGCTCTCAACCAAGTTCGAGCCCAACCAGTGCATCAACTAGCCGAAGTGAATCACTAAGTCAAAACTCAACTCCTAGTTCAACACCTGTAAAACTAAAACTAAGGAGTCTAGAAGAGATATATGCTAGATGTCACATGAGTTTTGTTTGAACCAGAAGATTATCAAGAAGCAGCACAGGATCAAGCATGGCAAGAAGCTATGAATGCAGAAATCGATATGATTGAAAAGAATGACACTTGGCAGCTAGTTGATAGACCCACGGATAAGCCTGTTATTGGGGTGAGATGGGTGTTCAAAACTAAATTAAATCTAGATGGAACAGTTCAGAAGCACAAGGCTAGACTGGTGGCAAAAGGGTATGCACAAAAGCCCGGAATCGATTACAATGAGACCTTTGCACCAGTGGCAAGGTTGGATACAATTAGGACCCTTATAGCTTTGGCTGCACAAAAAGGGTGGAAACTATTCCAACTAGATGTGAAATCTGCGTTTTTAAATGGCATACTTGAAGAAGAGGTATATACATTGAACAACCTGAAGGTTTTGAAGTTAAAAATGCTTGTCATAAGGTCTACAAATTAAGGAAGGCCTTGTATGGTTTAAAACAGGCACCTAGAGCCTGGTATAGTGAGATTGATGCATATCTCACCAGCTGCAATTTCATCAGAAGCACAAGTGAAGCTACTTTGTACACCAAGTCCGATGAAGAAGGTGGTATCCTTATTGTCTCAATATATGTTGATGACATTGTGTATACTGGAAGCAGCAAAACACTACTCAGTGAGTTCAAAATGGAGATGATGCAGAAGTATGAGATGTCGGATTTAGGCTTACTCCATCATTTTCTAGGAATGGGAATCCTACAAACTGAAAATGGTGTATTTATTCATCAAAGCAAGTATGCAAAATCATTACTTGTGAGGTTTGGTCTTGAAGACTGCAAACCTGTCTCCATTCCTCTGCCTACTGGTGAGAAGCTCAAGAAGGTAGATGGAAGTGAATTGGCAGATGAAACCATGTACAGGAAAATTGTGGGCAGTCTTTTGTATTTGACAGCAACTAGACCAGATTTGATGTATGCTGCTAGTTTGTTGTCAAGGTTCATGAATGGTCCTACAAAGAAACATTTTGGAGTTGCAAGGAGGGTTCTGAGATATGTGCAAGGCACGCTGAGCTATGGAATTGAGTATGCAAAAGATAGTGATGCAATCCTTGTAGGATTCTGTGATGCAGACTGGGCAGGGAGTGAGGATGATTGCAGGAGCACCTCAGGATATGCTTTTAGCTTTGGTAGTGGGATTTTTCTCTTGGACGTCTGTGAAGCAAAATACAGTTGCTTTATCAACTGCAGAGGCCGAGTATGTCTCAGCAGCAGAAGCCACGGCCCAGGCTATTTGGCTAAGATTTGTACTCGATGATTTTGGAGAAATGCAAGCTGATGCAACACCCTTATTCTGTGACAACATGTCTGCAATCTCCATGGTGAAAAATCCTGTCTTTCACCAGAAAACCAGACACATAAATAGGAAGTTTCATTTTATAAGGGAAGCACTACAAGAAGGTGTGATTAATGTGAAGTTCTGCAGAAGTGAAGAACAACTTGCAGACATATTTACTAAAGCCTTGCCTAAAGATCGATTCAATTACTTGAGGATGAAGTTAGGAGTAAAGCCAGTAAGCAGCTTAGGAGAGGCTGTTGAGAATTAAGCTGCCTCCTTGCTTTAGAGGTATCCTGCAGAAGGTAATCCTGCAGATGAAGTCAAAAGGAAGCAGGAAAGTGTGAAGAAATGAAGACCTTACTAAAATTAGAAGGAGCTTTTTAATTTTCAACAGCTAGTTTCTTCCCCTGTTTTTAGAAAGATTACAGCTGGTGTTTTATCTTTTATTTGTACTGAGCATTCTCATCTTCCTCCAAGTGGATGGATGATATCCTCTGATAACCATTTATGATCGGAGAAGAGTACTAGGCCTCTAGATGTAGGTTCTGGTTTTTAGACCGGCTGTGAAACAAAAAGATATAGTCTTTGTAATTTGTTTTTTGGATATCAAGAAAATATACAAAGTGACTCTTGCTCTTCTGTTTTCTCTCGAGCCAAAACAAACACAAAATTTCGTCAAACCTTTATTCAAGTTTCAATCTTTATCAACAAAAAACAATATGCCTGGTACCATTTCAAACAATATATAAGAAACTGTCACATTTTCATACTTTAAACCAGTTCAAAAGTTCTAGTAAAACTGCAACAACAGCTTCAAGTAATCATTAAGTTAACAATAGAAGCGTTCCTTCTATGCATGGTGCACAAGCCTTACGGATGCAGAAGTGATTCTGATGTACTCAAAGTTACCTTACTCTTTTGCACTCTTACACGAACCCGAACCCCAATTTCTTCATCTCCCTTTACCTACTCAGTACAGAAGTATGTTCTATGAGAAACAATATAGATCAAACTCTATAAAATCACTATTATGAAATGAAAAAAAAAGTGGCTATTGTGCTTACAGACTTTATCTTCCCTGTAGAACGTATTTCAAGCCGAACTGAGGCAAAGAATTTTAATGCAATTCCTCCAGATGTCACTTCTGGATTCCCATAATATACACCAATCTTGCAAAATGAAGGAATTAGTCAATTAAAAGTCAAATAATTGTGATTAGGGAAATAACAACTAATAAAGCAAACTGAGAAACAATTACAATCATATACATTTGAAAAATGATTGACGCAGGCTCAGCAGCTTAGACCAAGGTACTCAATATCATTTATTGCAATGGATCCAGATATATGTCATCATCAATATGTCAAAACTTTAATGCTCAAACTCAGTTCCTTAGACATATGCACTCAATCTTGTTTCAATGAATTCAAGTATGTACCATCCACAAAAGAGAAGATATAAACAAAATTAATTGAAACTACCTTATATCTTATTTGATTTAAAATATTAAGTCACCCTATACGTAGCAAGATCAGAAAGTGAGATATGTGAAATTGCATATCTAAAATTTATAACTACAAGATAAAGAGAAGGTTACTTCAATCTCTGCTCGTGGAGTGAGTGCCGAGACAGAATCAACACAGATAAGATAATGGCATAAGTTCCCGCAAACAAGCATTTTCCAGAAGAAAAAGAAAGAAAAAAATGCCCACAAACATGCAGACAAGAAAAGAAATATTACTCTCAAGTGCCATTTCTCCATGATCAGGCTGACAGACAATCAGATTTTCTACATCTACTCCCAGTGCTTTTGAATATGCTGGATCAAAAGCATGTTCTGCATCAACAAGCATAGCATTTCCTCCAAGTTTCTGCATATTACCATTAAAAAGCTAAATGTTGGTCCAGAGAAGAAAGAAGCCAGTATTCAGTAACCAGAAACTAAAGATGAGTCGTGGGGCGGCAGCAGGGACGAAGGGAGGGAAGAAGAAGGGAGCTTCGTTCACGATAGACTGCGCGAAGCCGGTGGAGGATAAGATCATGGACATCGCCTCACTGGAGAAGTTCCTCCAGGAGCGCATCAAGGTCGGCGGCAAGGCCGGTGCTCTCGGTGACTCCGTCACCGTCTCCCGCGAAGAACAAGATCACCGTCACCTCCGACTCCAACTTTTCCAAAAGGTATCTTAAATACTTGACAAAGAAGTACTTGAAGAAGCACAACGTGAGGGATTGGCTTCGCGTGATTGCATCCAACAAGGACCGCAATGTTTATGAATTGAGATACTTCAACATTGCTGAGAACGAGGGTGAGGAGGAAGACTAAGCACTTTGTCTCCTGTTTTGTGGCATTACCGGTTGGTCTTAGTTGTTCTTTAGACCGTCTTTTGTTTTTTAACCTGTCTTATCTATCAACTTCTGTTTTAGCTTGTTTCATGATTGATACTTCCTATGAAATTAAGCTTCTTCTAAAATAAAAAAAAAAAATAAAAAAAAAAAAAAAAAAAAAAAAAAAAAAAAAAGTAACCAGAAACTAAAGATTCCAGACGAAAGTTGAGAAAACTATTCCTACACTACTCCAATCCGTTTAACACAATGAAAGTCATTAGGAGAAATTTTCACATGACCATAAAGCTTAAGTAGTATGTCAAGATCACCCACCACCGCATATCATGCCAAAGTATTGAGCTGCAATAGTGCTTAAGCAATATGGACGAACCACTTGATGCTTTAATAGTTGAAATAAACTTTGCTAACTAAAGAATAGCAGTTTATTGGGTGATTGTGTCTTTATTAAAAACTATAAGTAATCATGATGGTTGCACTTGTCGATAAATTAACCATCTTTTTGGCTCTTACACAAAAATAAAAATAAAACAAAATTTTAAAACTTGACTTATGAATGTATTCTTTGAGCTGTTTACTTCTCTTTGATTGGCTTTATAGTGCTAAAGTCATAAGTATAGGACCTACTAGCAATTAATTCTGCTCTCGTTGATTGTCTAGTTCTTTCCTCACTCCAGATTTTTTGTCTACAGTTGTTCGTTGTTCGTTTTTCCTTTTCTATTGTTTTCTTGAATCCTTTCACAGGATCCTGAATTTCCAGGATTCTATGGTCTGCATTACATACCAATTGATTACACTTGTGGATCCAGTAACTGCAGGGGCAGACTAGTTTGACAAGAACATTACCAGATATTCTATATCAAATTATCAAATAAACATCTCGCACAGCAGTTAGCTAATCAATTTTTCTAATGAAACAAACCCGTCTTCGATCATGAAAAGCAAAAGGAAGGAAAATCAGAAATTGGTCTTTGGGCCTAACAAAACCTCTCCACACGTAGAACAGCATGAAGAACAGCATCCAATTCCAATCCCGACCGGATGCAAGTGTAAGTGTAACTTAGCAAGCATGAAAGCATACAATGGGGACATACCTCCACAATTCTCCCTTTTGGAAGGCCACCACCTAAGGCAAGGTCTAATGTCAAGCAGCCACTGGGAAAAGTTTCACTGCAAAACCAACAGAGTTTTAGATAATCTACATTAGCAGTGATATGATATGGCAAGGAGATAAGAAGCACGTACACCAAGGCTCCACCAGCACTTCCTAATCTTGTAACACTTCCCTTCCCAAATGAGCCATTTATATCATTCATGGCTGCTTCCAGTGCCTTTTGCTGAAATAAAAAGCACTTTGGTAATCAGAGTTTATCTACTTTTAGCTCAAAGTTTTAGTCTTTCTGCATTCGTGTTTGTGAGTAATCACCGATGCCCCTTCAAAAGCACTTTTCTGCTTTTGGGAAGCAAAAACGAAGATAGAGGCGAAAAGGCGCAAAAATGAAACCAAAAGGTAAAGATTCTAACTCGTGACATAAAGTCTTAATACCACGATGTCACTTAAAATGGGTGGAAGTGTTTTTGATAAAAGTGTTTGGGCGTTTTAAAAGCACTTGAAGTGCATTTTGAAAGAAGAAGAGCTTGGCTTCTTAAGGTCAAAAATACTTCGTGCTTATGATTGAAGTTGTTAATATTATAAATCACTCGATAAAGATCATCTTTACAAAAAAATTGAATTAAAACTAAGATCATTTTGTCAAGAAATAGATAGACAGTTTGTAATGCTCCAATCAGTTTTTTTCAAATCAACTTGAATTTTCATTAATGATTGGTTTTAAAATTATTTTCGGTAAAAACGTTTTCAATTATTTTAAAAACAGCATAAAATTTGTGGTACAATATGTGGGTAAAGCTAGAGAAATTTTTAGTTGTGACGGGGACACGGATGATACATCACGTATTTTTATGCAAGTGGTGAAAATTTTTAATTTTTAAATTATTAAAATTTTAACACATATAACCCACTATTTATATAAAGACGAGTTATATACTATCTCATGCGACGATCGTATAAAAAATCTCTTGTAAAGCCGGTAGGTGGATACCAATGACCAAAAGAATTAAAAATAATAATAAATAAGAAAAAACAAAAACAAAAGTTCCCAGTTGAATATTGGTTCAAACTCCCAGTATATGTCGGTCAAGCCGGTAGGTGGATCAGCCCAATGACCAATCACCAATCACCAGTGACCAAAAGAATTAAAAATAATAATAAATAAGAAAAAACAAAAACAAGAGTTGTCAGTTGAGTATTGGTTCACAACTCCCGGTATAAATAAAACAACAAGGGAGAGTGTCGTACGCTTCTTCGTTTTAGTGTTTTTGCCTGCCTTTCACTTTCAAAGACTTGCAAAAAAAAAAGGCACTTTCTCTCTCTCAGCGGGCGACTCTGTGACTTTAAAGAGTCGCCGATCCCAATTCCATTCCCTCCCTATCTACATATCTACCCCTTCCAACTCCAATCAACCACCCCCGGACGAACAGAAGCAGCAATGGCTTTCCAGAAGATCAAGGTTGCCAACCCCATCGTCGAGATGGACGGTGAGATTTCCCTTCCATCTATATGTATATTGTATTTCCTCCGATCTGTTTGTTTCCGTCGCCGATTAACTGAACTGATTGATCTGCTGATTCTGTTTCGTTCTGGTTCTGGTTCTTCTTGATAACTTTCTGAGATGAATTTTTTACGTCCCCAAATGTTTGTTTGCTTGTCTTCCGCAAAGTGGTGACTTTTATTTTTGTCATCCTTTGTTTTCCATTTTCTATTCCTTCAAAAGTTGGTAGAACGAAAACCCTTTTGTTTTGAGGCTACAGAAAGAAAACGCATTTGCCAGAAATGATTTGTTTTTCCCCCAAAAACATGAAATTGAAAAAATCGGCTCTAACTTGTTATTTGATCTGTACAAAAAATAATCTTGATTTCAATTGGGAGGGTTGTTTGCTGAATTTTTATATGTATTATAAATTGAATTTTGTTTGATCTATATATTAGCAGATTCTGTAATTGCTTTAGCCTTTAAGAATTGAACTATGATGATGCATAAATGATTCAGACTTCAAGTGTTTTTCGTAAAGAAAATATGTTAAAAGTTTCAAAGATTCGAAGAAATTATTTTCAACTCATGAAAGTGTGAAGAACTCGTAATGCACGATACACTCATACTCACAAGAACTCGTAATGCACGATACACTCATACTCACACTGCATGAAACACTTGTTGATTTCATTTAAATCTAACTTTACAAAACTAATACGCTTGTGTACGTGGGTTGAAGATTCGAAGAAGTTTGACCTTACTCTTTCTCATACTATCTGTCTTTTGATATGTGGTTTCAGGAGACGAAATGACAAGAGTTTTCTGGAAATCCATTAAAGACAAGGTATCTACATCATACTCTTAAGTGCTTCACCTATGCTATATTTTGTAACTACGTACTGTTCTGATCAAGATGGTTATTGCGTACACGATTCTTTCTCTTTGTTGTATCTGCAGCTTATTTTACCATTTGTGGAATTGGACATCAAGTACTTTGACCTTGGCCTTCCTCATCGTGATGCCACTGATGACAAGGTTACTGTTGAAAGTGCTGAGGCTACTCTCAAGTATGTTTATCACATCTCTGCTTAGAAGTTCTTATGATGGCTATTTATTTCTGAATTCATTATTTTTATCTTTACATTGGTATTGGTGAGTCAGGATTGTAATTAGGCAGTAAACAAAGTTGTTTATGGCACACTGTTGTCCTTATGAACACCTCCTTCCTATGCATTATAAAATACGAGGTGGAGGGTGAGAGCATTCAATGCTCGTCATGTGTCTATATATGTTTTACCAGGGAAAAACAGAAGAATAATGAGTGCCTAGAGTCTCTTTTTGCTTGGAAATTTTATGTTGCTATTCATTTCGCATCTCTAACACTTGGTATTTTAGGTATAATGTAGCAATCAAGTGTGCGACTATTACTCCAGGTATACACTACTGAAGAATCATACATGCATTTGTTTTCGAACTCTAGATCCTGTATTAATATTTTCAGTCTTCACTGAGAGATTGACAAAAGTCATGATATTGTTGTCATAATTGACAGATGAAGCTCGTATGAAGGAGTTTAGCTTGAAGAGTATGTGGAGGAGTCCCAACGGGACCATTAGGAATATTTTGAATGGTTAGTGAACTGGCAACTTCACATTCTCATCTTTTGAACAAATTTTTTATTTTTTTTGGCAATTACAATGGCTGATTGTTTTTTTTTTTCCTACAGGTACTGTTTTCAGAGAACCAATTCTTTGCAAAAACATCCCTCGCCTTATCCCAGGTATTATAATGTCATATGGTGGTTCTATATTTTTGTAGGTCTAGAACTATGCTTATTTTTTTTCTGTTTTTCAGGCTGGACAAAGCCAATATGCATTGGAAGACATGCTTTTGGTGATCAGTATCGAGCAACTGATGCAGTCATTAAGGGACCGGGGAAACTGAAATTGGTGTTTGGTAAACATTTATCTTTGCTTGATAGTATTAGATTTGTGTACATCACTGTAGATTAGTACGATTATATGTACAAAGTTTCTCTTGATAAATGATAGTTCTTAAATTCCTTTGTTTTTACTTGATAAATGCTTGCAGTGCCAGAAGGAAAGGATGAGAAGACAGAGCTAGACGTGTACGACTTTACAGGGGAGGGGGGAGTAGCATTGGCCATGTACAACACCGATGAGGTTTGTTTGTTAATCCTTTCGTGTTTCTGTTGAAAGAATTTATTGATTGCTGTGAGTGACTGTTCCTTTTATTGTATATCGGTCTTGGGTATGCAGTCCATCCGTGCTTTTGCAGAGGCTTCCATGACCACTGCTTATGAGAAAAAGTGGCCTCTTTATCTTAGCACAAAAAATACTATTCTGAAGAAGTATGATGGAAGGTATGCAGATTCTTAATTTCCCTGTTTTTAAGTATTTAACATTTGTAATCGACAAAGAAAAAATAGGATTTAACATTTGTACTTATCATTCTCTGACCTATCTATATTTTTGTTTGTTCATGATATAAGATTCAAGGACATATTTCAAGAAGTTTATGAAGCTAACTGGAAATCAAAGTTTGATGCTGCTGGCATATGGTAAGGAGTAGGGACTGAAACGCCTGGCAATTTTATTTTATATCCTGAGGTCAGATGGTGTTGTTTTATTGACTATATACTATTGGATTGGAAGGTATGAGCATCGTCTCATTGATGATATGGTGGCTTATGCACTTAAAAGTGATGGTGCGTATGTTTGGGCATGCAAGAATTATGATGGAGATGTGCAAAGTGATATGTTAGCTCAAGGTTCGTACAACTGCCCTTTTGCTAATTTTTGTCTCGTCTCATCAATGATTTGCATACTGAGAGATTGCAGTTTTTAACTTGTGGTTCTATTTTAGGGTTTGGATCTCTTGGATTGATGACATCCGTACTGGTATGTTATACCTGTTTCATGTGTATTTGCATTTATCCCTCCATCCCTCGCTCCCTATTTTGTCATGTGAATCCTTGTCCTTCACTTACTGGAGTATTTCATGGGTACAGGTGTGCCCAGATGGAAAGACTATTGAAGCTGAAGCTGCACACGGTACAGTTACTCGGCATTACAGGGTTCACCAGAAGGGAGGTGAAACAAGTACAAACAGCATTGCTTCCATCTTTGCTTGGACAAGAGGGCTTGCACACAGGTATATTAGAAAGATTGTTTTCCAAGTTAGCACTCCTTTTTGATATCTTAGTGTTCCGTGGAAAGGTTATTAAATCTGAATTTAAATGTGTCTGTGTAATAGGGCTAAGTTGGATGACAATGCAAGACTTTTGGAATTCACTCAAAAACTCGAAGAAGCTTGTATTGGAACTGTGGAATCAGGGAAAATGACCAAGGATCTTGCACTAATTCTTCACGGATCCAAGTAAGTGTCTAATAGATTATTTTATCTTCATAATTTATGTCTCTGTGCCCATGTGAGTTGTGTTTTCCTGTGCCTCTATATGAGCAGTGATTTTACTTATAACATGCTTACGTGTGCTGCAGGCTGGCTAGGAACCACTACTTGAACACTGAAGAGTTCATTGATGCTGTGGCCGAGGAACTGAAAGCTAAGCTTGCTTGCTAGGAAGCACTGCATTTTTCAGACTTGCATTGGAGGTGAGTTCCTTTCTGTTTTTCCACCGTTTCTAAAAGTTAACATCATAATCATAATCTTATTGAAAGTAACGTCACCTAATGCCTGTTTGTAGGGGAATTTTTAATACACAATCTAAATTTCTTGCTTCATTTCCTTGCGATTCCAATGTTTTCTTGACAAATTATTCTTACCCTCGTCGTTTTTTGGTTTTATTGAAATAGTTTTCTCATTTAGTGCAAACATTTTCTTTCATTTTTTGAAGTTAATGGATTCTAATTTGTGTTTCAGGCACAGGCAACTGTGGACTTGTATTTTGAAAGAAATAATGGAGGGCGGAAAAAGGGGAAGGCAGGGAGGTGGAAAAGGGAAGACGAGCGGTGGAAACTTTCCCTTCTGGTGTTATTTTACACTCATCTGTTTCTTGAGTGTATTAGTTTCTTGTGCACTATTTGGATTCTCGACTCTTACCCATTTGCATGTTCTTACCTCCACATCAGTTGCTAAGCTTCGGCAATTTCTACTTTTTTCATAGTTAACTGAGGAATAATCTTTTGTTTGGTTCGTCTTTGGACAGACAGTGTCTGAAGTCCGTTAACCGGAGAGTCGGAGACTGTCGAGTCCGGTTTCTATTCTTCGTTCCTGGTTTCTATCTCGAGTCTTGGTTTAAGTATTTGAACAAACATTGGCAAATGCATTTCAAAAAATAATGGCCAATGGTTCGTACCCATTGATCTCTGTCCGCCAAGGATATGTCGATAACTTGACATATGCTTGACCAGTACGTTTGTATGGATGATCACAGTGAGGCACATCTTGGCTGATATGCCGGGTGATGTAAAACCCGGTTGATATGCTGAAACCGCCTCCTGACTGATACGCCGGATGTCGTAAATATAGCATCAATAATATAAGAATAAACTCTTATAATGGGCTGGAAAGTTTTAGTGCTATGAGATTGATTGTTATAATTTTAGTTCGATATACTGCACTCGCGAGTGTCAAACCTATACAATAAATAACAAGAGAAAAAACAGGACTTGGATCGTCTGTCCTTCCCATCTCATATCCTCTCCATGCCCTTCTATATTTTGTGGTCACGGTTAAGCCATGTTAACATTTTATATTTATTTTTTTATAAAAATAATAAGACAAAAAGTAATTGGAATATAAAATGTTGACGTGGTTTAACCGTGACCACAAAAATAGGAGGGCATGGGGAGGGTATGGGATGGGAGGGCAGACAATCCATATCCAAAAAATATATGTAACTAAATCATAAAATAAAGAAAAATAGAAAGTAGATGGGTCTTACATTTAATATATAAAACTCACCCATATCAATAGTGTAATACGAATTAAACTCATGGTGCCTTTCTTACGTATAGGTATTGGACTCACCTAGACTATTGTAGAATTTATAAAGAGCTATGCTAGGAAGACCAAATCTTTAAACCAAATAACATGAAAGTCGATGATTGGATTATTACTCAAGTGTGGATTAATATGTTTATTTCTTATTCGTAACACATTATCAGGTTTACATATTTAATTTATAAATTTGATCTCCTGTATTATCCATATATTGTTATAAATATGTCAAAGTTAGACAGATAACCTTTTAGTAAATGGAGCGAGGCATGTGTAAAATGTCACACTAAAACGATAGCACAAGAAGATAACAAATAAAAAATGGAGGAAGAGATGATATTATTGATCTTTCTTTCCTTCTGTATATTCTCTCTATATCTTTTGAAAGCATACGGAGTGCTCTATTTATAAAGCAACTCCAAACTAATGCATTAACTGCACTTTGAAATTTACATCACCCATTTGACAATACCATCTCCTGCATCTCCAAATTCCATTTCACTCTGCATGGACATTGAAAACTTCTACCAAAGTACTGTGGGCATTCACTACCCACCAGCATTTTCAACATATATAAATATATAAAAATGAGTTGAGGTTTAATGCTAGTGTTAGTTGAGGTTGTTGAACCTAGTGAGGTTAAAATCAACCACACCTACCTTTCTTATGATGATATTTATTTTGAGGAGGCTTCATTCAAATTTACATTATTCTTGATGGAGATAGTCTCTATCCCTCTCTCTCGTACTTGTTGGAAGCGAAACCCTACGAATCTGATACTTTTATTTATTTATCTATTTAAAAAAAAAAAAAAAAAAGTTGGATGATGACTCATGAGACAAATCACACAGACGGTTAGTTGGCTTAGATGGGCGAGGAGATTCTCTTCGTGAGGATACCAAAAATCCTCTAATCACATTCGTTTATCGTATATCATACGATCAGCTTTTATCAGGTACTGTTTATATTCAATTTTAAATAAAAAAATTACAATAATTTTTTATCACACAATGTACGATGAACGAATGTGATTGGAGGATCCTTACAAAGAGGATTCGACGAGGATCCTACTGGGCTTAGATATATAGTCAATCACGGTGACTCATCAATCACAATTGCCATATCTTTTCATGATTAAATTCTTAGTTGCCTTAAATTACGATCTACTGTTATTTTTCACTAATTATGCAGACTTTTGTGAAGTTTAGCTTGAATACTCACATTCGAGTTTAAATCTTCTGTATCTAAAACTTTTTATGGCCTTTTTTGCCCGATCTAGTTGAGTGACACACGCTCATTTGACTTAATTTATAGGAAGACTTTGGATGCGATCTTTAATTATCAATGTTTTTTTAATGAAACCTTTGTGGTTTTCAGTTTTTTATCGAAGTCTCTGACATTAATGTAATAATGTATTTCTAATTTTTTAAATTAAAAATGAAATTTATAGTTATTTATATTAATGAAATTTTAAATAAAACCCATAATTTATGGGATAAAAAAATATTAAAGATAAATTATATTCTCCAATATATTGTCTGTGTGTGTGTGTGTGTGTTAGGCTTAGTAGCATTTTTAAATTTCTTCTATTAAACTTGATATGGATACATTCTCAAATCAAAGAATGTACCTATATAAGTTAAAAAAATGGATTAGAAAAAAGATTGAATGAATTTTATGTAAAAATAGGTACATTTTACAGATAATAAAATGATATATTTAAGAATGGTACATTTAAGATTAGAAAAAATTGAATAATTATATGAATGGTACATATAAAAAATTAATGGGTACAAACTTAATCTAATTTTATTTTTTATATTTTGGAAATGTTTTGAATTGAAAATTAATTAGGAGTTTAATAAGGATGTGAGTATTAAAACCCTAAATCAATTACTAATTTTTATTTTAAAAAATTATGTAACTGACATTTACTTCATTAATATATTAATGCTAGGAACTTTGATCAAAATCTAAAAACTGATAATGTCTCAGTTAATGAATATTAGAAACTAGGGATCGGATACTAATTTTTCCTAATTTATATTTAGTTTTTATTTTTTTATTAATGAGATAAGTTGAAGAGTTAACATTATTAAGTGGGTTTTAAATAAATAATCAAGTGTCAACAAATGAGATAGGTCATAAAGAATTTTGGGCACAAAATATTTGAATTCCTCACATTCTCAATATTGTTATATAAAAATAAAGGAAAACTAATGAAAATAGCTTGAAAAATTTGAGTTTTAATGATAAGGACAAAATAAAGGGTAAAGTGAATAGTACCAGGATTGACTTTTTAGTGTAAAAATATGCTTTTTCGTTAAAGTGAATAATACCGGGAGCTTTTCATTAAAGTTCCCAAATAAAGGAAAATGCAAGGGAGACCAAAGTTTCAAACTAACATTTTAAACCAAATTTGCAAATCAAATAATTTGTCACCTATAGAAAGTAAACACATTAATTAACACGAGTAATAAATCAATCATCAACAACTACTTCATTTTATTTACAAAATTTGGTTTAAAAATCTGACCTCCCTAATATTACCCTTTAAAGAAGCAATGTGATATCCACACCTCTTTTTACTTCTTCCACACCTTTTTATTTTTCGACCATCGGATCAGATGAATTGAAGAGGATCAACGAACATAAATTAACAAGGAGTGTGTGAAAAATAAAATGGGGTGTATGGATAGCACACCCCCCAAAGAATAGTAGGTGGCTTTGATTCACTAAATTAAATCAGGGAACGGTTTAGCTTACAAAATTTCAATTGGCCTTAATCATTGTGATCACCAAATGCCCCAATTTTTTTTCAGTGGGAATGGATGTAAATTCTAGCTTGGACCATCTTCCAATTATTTTTCAGTTTAGTGGTACTCTCTTTTCCATTTGGTAACACTCGTTTTTTAAAAATTTTGTTTTCAAGCCTTTGTTCACATATTTCTTTCATTTCTCCATAAATTCCCCTCTAACCTAATTTTAGGGTGAATGGAAATTTCGATGCTAATGATCAAATATATTACGGCCTAGAGATATTTATTTTCACTTGTAAGTAAGAGCTCTTAGGTTCAAATATTGAAAATGATGAGTTCACCACCAATTTATTCCCCCACCCTTTAATGTGTAAACATATCATTATATCAAAACAATCAGATGTAAATTAAACGGGTATTCCAAAAGAAACAAAAAAAAAAAAACCCTTTACAAGGACGCACTGCGAAAAGTTGGAACAATTTGAACATATGTAGGTTGAAATAACGCTAAGAGGAAATAAGCAAAATTCTCCTCGTAGCACCACCCAACTTTTCATACAAAATGTGCAGCAGAAGCTTGACCTTTCCCAACTGCAAACGGAGCTCGATTACCCCTGAAATTTGATCAGTATTCGAGTCATTTCGATTTTCTTGACTAGATTGTTAGCATTGGAAGAGTAAATGTTCTTACCGAGAATAAGCCTTAACCAAAGGTAGCTCACTTTTGCCTTCAATCGGGATAACTTCACTTCCATAGAAAAATCTGAAAGCAAATCAGAAATCAGAATCAAACGATGATATGGTCGGAAACTCGCTCTAGAATCGTGGTCTAAAATAGCGGACTAGGCATGAAATGTTCAGAACAACTAGTTAACATGATGCATGTGTGTTTAAAATTCCCAAGTTGAAGTTCAGTATTTGTCTGTGAACAAAATTTGTTGTTTTTCAAAGAGCTTTCCTTCAAATTATTAGAATTCAGTTATATGTCAGCAACCGAGTTTCCATCTTAACGCTAAAACTTAAAAGTGCCCCCGAAAAAGTTAAAATGAAATGCAATTGTCAAGGTATAAATCGTACGATATGCAAAATTTACCAGATTCAGGATTCAACTTTGGAGAAAGACCATATAATGCATATTTTCCATAGGCTAGTAACCTCACTCTTTGTGGAGCACCCAACTTGCTAACGATAGACCTAAGTAGCCCGCTGGATACGGAGATAAGAATACAGCAATAAGGGATTTGAACAAACAAATTCGTAACGGCAGAACCCAGTAGCACACTGGATATGGAGATAAAAATAGAGGCAAAAAGAATGCGAAGTACATCAAAAGCTTTCAAATCTGGAAAGGTTTCGTTCTTCTACTTACTCAGTGCGCAATATTGTGAGGAAGTCAGATGGCAAGGATTCCATAAATGAAGATATGTCCTCCATCTTTAGGGACTTCAACTCTTGCTTTAGATTACTTTTTTCTTCAACTGACATTGTCTTCCCAAGAGCCGATTTACTGCAAGACATGGTAAAAGTGCAATTAGCTCAATATTGAAGTTTGTTAGCGTAATCATAAATGCTTTATTGAGGGATATATATTAATGATATGAAAAAGGAAAAGAAAATATAGATTCAGCTTTCAGCATCAAGCGGAAATCTTTATTGGGATAGCTCCTTGCTAACTAAAACCAGCATCCTATACAAGGATCAACACATAAAAGAGGTGCACCTTGTAAAAGTATCACTGGAACCACAATCTGAGTATCTTTTGTCACTTCTAAACAGACACAATCATATATACAAATGCATATATGAGAGGATGAAAAGATGAATGCAATTTATAAATTTCTTGGGAGCAGAATTGGCTCGTCACTGACAAAAGAGGAAAAAAAAATCACCTGTCAATAGTTCTTCCCGTAAAAATGACAGGAAAGTATCTAGAATACTTCCCAACACCAAACCTTTCACCCAAATGATGCAATTTTTTAGAGTCTAGAAGAATTAAAGCCTTCCAGAGTTGACAGTAGTCCAACCTGAATCCTTCATCTAATTGTTTGTATATTCCATGGTCTAGAAGAACTGCATTGCAAATTTATAAACAGTAAATCATATTGTAAGCCCAAAAATAAAATCAATTTTAACTTAAACAACTACGTACTGGTCTTATTTTCAGCACATACCCAGAGAAAAACCATTGGGACCTTCTGGTGAAACTAATATGTTACCAGGGTGTGGATCTCCATGCAGGAAACCATGGATAAAAATCATTTCAGCAAACGCTTCCAATAATACTTCTGCTACCTACAATAAATTAAACACAAATAATTAAGAGTAGTTTTCCTAACTGCAATTGGCTTTACTGGTTAAGACCTATCAGACAATTCAAACAAGAAAAGAAAACAGGAAGAGCGGCCTGACACTTCCACCATACTTTCGCCTAGCACACACAAACTAAAGAGAAGCACTTGACGAAACATTATCGTAACTACACAAGGCTTCATTAATGTGTATGCATGCAAATGTATGACCTTACGTGACAATGCACACACATGCACACTTTAAATAAGATTTTTAGCATAAACTACAGTTTCTGAATCCCAGTTGGATTACAAAAACACGTTCTAGCATGCCCGACCGTATTTTGACTTGGCTCATTCTCATTTGCTATTGCTGTTTAATCTTGGCCATCAGATTTAGTTATATGCGTAGATAAAAGCATAGAAGACTGCTGCCTCAACCGCCTATAAAGCCAGCCACCCAAAAAGGTCCAGCTCAGATGATTTAAACAGCCTAATATCAGATAGGCTGAGCTCAAATTGAGTTTTAAAACATATAATGAAGTTCAGAGTTTTTGTTTGTGCTGGCGTTACAATATACAGAAAATCTGCAGGTAAACCTGAAAACTAACCTTCATTGGGTTTATACTCCTTTCCTCCAGAAACTGTACATCATCAACCTGAGTTCTAAAGAAATTATTATTAGCGGAATTAGCAGCACAGATATCAGAATATAATATAATGATACAGGCAACAAGTTCAAGTTCATTAAAAATATCATGAAAGGCAGACTTACAAAACAAAAACAAATAATGAAAACCATACCAAAAAGTGATTCAAATTCATAATAAGATCTGCTCATCATCCTTCCTATGGCTTTTTAGGCTAGTTACTGTCATTAACAATATTATTAAAAATTAACTGTTATACTTTTCTTTGACTTCAATAAAATTTTAAGTGACTGGAGTCATCCTTCTTATGACTGGAGGCTTGTGGTATGCCTTGGCCCTGGGATGGGGTAGCCTCCCCTCCCCCTAAACTTTTGACTAGCCAAAATAACATAAACAAAATTTGCTCGAAGGATTCATGATAGTTTAAGGGCTTTTAATTTTGTTTTACACTTTTTTATTTTGGAGCCTCGAGTCTTGTTAGAATTAGAATTAAGAGAGCTAGTACTAGTAGCCCAAAAATATAGACAAAATGCATCAATTCAATGCAGAAGTGTTTGAGAACATGTCTATATGTAAAAAACAACTTATGGTCTTGGTTTTGAAGCCTAAACTCTACATTGTTTTATTCCATTATTTGATTTTCTGCAGTAAGATCACTGCAGTTTCAGCAACTTCAGAGGCATCAGAACGAATCTTTATTGACACAATTTAAAAAATAAACCCCATATCAACTTCTTTTTTTGTCACTTGGTTTAGCCTCAATATAACATATCATAGAATGCAAGCTCTAAGTTAACCAGTGCTACATTACGCCCTTTTATACTTGTGTATTATCACATAGAGTCCATGGCAATAACAAGTATATTCATGGCCCACTACAACCAACATTATAGAAACTAATTTATGAACTACTTGCAGAAAATTTATGGTAGATTGCCATATTTATATATTAAATAACACATGTAGCCCATTCTAAAGTTATCGTGTTATAAACTAACAGGTCAACACCTATACCAGTTTCCTTACCTACACCTACATGGCATACTACTAACCTATTATCCACCATCACTGGGCTGTCCCATGGCGATTGAGAGAAAATTTCAGAGCTCGTTTGGATGTACTTTTAAAATGGCTAAAAGCACTTTTAGAGAAAATGTTTTTTGGTTCCAAAAGCACTTAAAGTGCTTTCTGCAAGAAGCACCAGTTATGTGCTTCTTCTAGGAAGCACTTTAAGTGCTTTTCCGGAATTTACCTGCATTTTTACCAAGGATTGGTTCCAAAAGCGCTTTCAGTCATTTTAAAAGCACATCCAAACAAGCACTCAATCTTTTTCCTGCAATATTAGCTAACCAACCATTTCCTTCTAAAAAAGTTTCAGAAATTAGAGAGAACTGGAAATTGTCAACAAATTTGATAAACTCCAGAATATGACAAGCATACCTAGATGCGTACTACATAAGAAAGTTCAAAGGGCTATACCTTGTGGCCCGTACAGAATTCCATTGTTAGCACTTGAGTAGTGGTCAAGTCCTGGATACATATATGGCGGTCAGCTTGTTGTATTCACAAATGAAAGATATTTCAGATGGCCCAATAAATATTAAAGAGGAGTATCCCAGCTATATTACCCAAAATATACGAGGAATCTTGACCCATTTGTTGTTTGCAAAGTTAGTGGCAGTTGTCTCAGAATTCCTAGCCTCCTGAATAAAGTCTGTGCAACCGTCAGAGAGGAGAAAACCATCATTGTCTAGAGTATATTCGACAACAATTTGAGAAGAAATAAAATGCTATGAAGAAAATAGCTATGGTGCTCCTTCCTTGAGTAAGACTATTTAAATAGTAGGCAATCAATGAAGTCTAATCCAATGGCAGTGGTCTAATTATTGATGTCATCTTACAACTCACCAAGTTCGAGAGATATAGCAAGTACGAACTCCGATACCAGCCAGTCAAATCTGTATTCCGGGAAAAACTGTAAAATGGATAAGAGAAAGGTCATTAAGTAACTGGGGGTGTCTGTTTCATAATTACAACGAGGAAATCATTGTGTTTGTTTCATAATTACAAACTCATTTTCTTTTGAAATTCACTATTCCTGATAATATACTTATTTCCCCTAGTAAAAACATTAGCAAAAGAAAAATATCCACAATGTTACTTTCCAAGTTACACCAAAAGAAAGAACTAGGAGGACAAATGGGCCTTCTTTTAATTTCTGAGAATATAATTCTAAATTTATTGTTAAAAGCAATAAAAAGGCTTCAAATCAATACATGTATGGAAAGTGGAAACTCACATACATGCATAAATGAATTTACATAGTATACATTATACACAGATCCAACTCAAGAACTAATAATTAAGCACATTTTGGGACATACATTGATAGCAGAACATAGCACTAGGCATAATATCATAAAACCAAGGCTGCAAATAAGCCTACACACTCGAGGGATCAAACAAATTAGTTTGGCTTGGCCTGCAAAACTGGTTTGTTTAAACATGCAAATTGTCAACTCCAAAATTGAAGGTCAAGGAATAACAATCCTTGAACAAGCATAAGGTTCTTGATTGACTACAATTGCACAGAAACTCCACAAATCACATCTCTGTCAAGTATTACTATTTAGAAACTTGAACGACTTTTTAGGACCGACAAAATCATTGCAACTACAATATCAATCTGCAAGCAAATATGAATTTAAAAGTGTCATGAGATTCAGTGTGTACCAATGTAAGGGATTTTGAAAGGAAATACATGGTTGCTGTATCTATTTTCATGTGCTGCTCCAGACCTGGGTACTGCACCTATTATCCAAATGATAAAACAAATTAATAATCACTGCAGCCGTATAAATCTGTTTTCTTGAGAAGGAAAAACTTCAGATGCCAAAAAAAGTAGTAGTGATCACAGAAAAGACAAGCATATGTTCATTTTTTCAAGTATAAGAAATGGTTGAGGAATGGAAAATTTTATCAGATGTCATGAAATTCAGGTAAATAATCTTTTTGTGAAACTATTTTAAACTTAAATCACTTCTCACCTTTGTTTTGCCTCCAAGAAGTTTCCTCTTTAAAAATAAAATTAAGCTATTGTCCAACCATTTTATCCATCTCGTCCTTGTTTTGGCTGGTTCAGGGTGAGAGTATATTGTCATGGGATACTTGTTTCTTGACGATGATTATGTTTTACTGTTCACAAGCAAGCTTCAATATTTGTGGCATGCTGTTATTTTTTATACTTTGATCTTCAACACAGCATTTCAAGATTGAAAGAGTTTACTTGACCTGTCTTTCTTGTCCGCCTGCCTTGACCATTGCAACTAGATTCCTTACCTTGCTTTCCCTTTTGACACTAATGAGCTAAACTTACTGTACAGCCAACTTTTGTGTCCTTTTTATTTGGTATTTTGGTGTCTTTGCAAGTTTCTTTATCTAGGTGGACAGTTTATATCTCAACTTGGGTAGTTTTAAACTTGTGCTCAACAGTGTGTTGTATAGGAAATGCCAAAAGGGATATCATAAAGTCATGTTCTTATATTGGTAAAATACATGAAAATTTGGGTATTATAAATGTAATTCGACTAAATGATAATCACATATGTTAATGTTAGAGATTGAAGTTATATTCCCACGCTTCAAGGAAGTTTGAATGTCTAAAGGAACTAAAACTTCAGGAATTTGGTCAAGCTACCCACCAAGCTTTTCTCACTTCCTGAGAATTAACAAGTTCCATCCAGAATTCTCAAGAGACCACTACACATTCCTTTCTGTTTTTTATATTCTCCTAATGAATTCAAATTAAAGTACAGATAGCACTGCATAAGAGTTTCTGGTCCATTAACCAATTACAATTACAATTACAAGTTAATTTGTTTTGAAATCAAATGCAAATTACTAAAACAGAAGTTTCTCTGCTCACCAACCTTAACTGCTACTTCTTGATGATCCTTAAGAACTCCCCTGTGTACTTGAGCAATAGATGCAGCGGCTATGGGAAGCTCATCAAGTGACAGAAACCTGAGGTAAATGCCGAAGTCAGTAAAATAATTGTATTTCAACATTGAATTACAGAGTTCCATGGCACAACACATTAAGATGCAAAAGGTTTTTAGGTACATGTTACAAAAAAATAAATGACTAGGACAATGCTTGATAAGCAGTTGGGAGAGAAAAAGGAGTAACAATAAGACAAATAGGGGTGTGATATCCACACACCCCTTTTTACTTCTCACACACCCTTTTAATTTTTGGTCGTTGGATCAGATGAATTGAAGAAGATCAACGGACAGAAATTAACAAATGATGTGTGAGAAGTAAAAAGAGGTGTGTAGATAGCACACCCTAGACAAATATTGTGGTTCACCAAGTTAGGAAAAAGGAGTAACAGTAACAATAAGACAAAAAAAGGGCCATGATGTATGACTTTAGGACAAATATTGTGGTTCATCAAACATTGTGATCCCAAAATCATACATCCTGGCATTTTTATTCAAGTTTAGAGTTCCATTGAAGAATCACACAAGGAAGGTGCAGTAATTTTTAAAGAAATATACAAACCAGGAAAATGGCAGCAGCAAACATGCTATAACAAATGAGGAAAAACAAATAAGGAAGAAGCCATATGCCATTTACCCTCCGTCTCCCCCCGTTTACAAACTAAGAAACCCCAATATAATGCCAAAGTTTATATCTATCCTTCATAATCCCTTACGGTACAGAAAAACTCACCTGTAATTAAGAACCCGTCTTAAGAGTTTATGTTTTATTTTTATTTTAATTTTATGATTTTATCTGGGTTCCCACTACTGCAATGTGATGTAATGCTTGTAACACGATGAAGTACTTACACATCTGACAGCTTGTGTCCCAGATTGCGGATCAGCACTTCTTTAATTGCTTTCAAATGACAAGGAACTGCCTAAGCCGATGAGTTACCAGATAGTTACCATTTCATAAGGGTTAGATTAATTTCCACCTATACAACCATACAAGTATACGCATCAAAATATAGATACAACCACATTGTTCATTCATACCTGATCCTGCAATGAGGAAAGGGTTGATGAGTACTCTTTCGGAACCTGTCGCAGAGCGGCCACAAATTGACCGGCTTTCACATAAAATCCTCTATTGGCCTCACACAGCTTCAGAATTCTCGAAGCGGAACGACTATGAACCTAAATGCCACCATCATAAGACATACAATACAACTGAAGTGAACCTCTTTCATATGATTCTCACTTATCAGGCTACAAGCAAACATAAAATTCTATTTCTTCTGCAAATTAATTTAACAATTTAATTAAAATTCCATTTCTTCTGCAAATTAATTGAACATTCATATCAAAAGAAAAGCAAGATAACATAATAACCTGGGATAGCTTCTGACGGTACTCATCGGAGTCCTCTGGGATTCCACGCAGAGTAAGCTTGTAGTCAACGGCAGTCAACGCAATCTGCAATTTCCGGAAACATATTTCTAACAAAATGCAATTGATAGACAAATAAACTGGAGAATGTGAGGGAGGGAGGAAACAGACGGTGGAGATTGCACGGGAAGACCGAACGACGCCGTGAATTGGTGTGCGGAGGTGTTCTGGGAATGATGGGAGGATATCGGCGGAGGAGGACGAGAGGAAATCAGAGTTGAAGGCGTGGAAGGTGAGGCCAGTTGCGGCGACAAGGAGGACAGGGGTTTTGGCCCTCCGCATTTCTTTTGAGACTTTAATTTGTTTCTGGACTCGCAGCTATTCAATCAACCATCAAAAACCGCATGTCCACCTGACCGACACGGACTAACGGAAATCAAGTTCAGGATCAATCTAAATGGTGAAAATTCACATGTGAATTATATTGAAGCGGTTTCCGCTTCACATTTCATGATATTATTGAGGCTTCTTAACGAAAATGATAGTTGAGATTTGAATAATACATTATTTTGTGGTTCTAAAATTTAAAATCAATATAATTCGTTTTTGAGATTGTTCATCATCAATTATTTTGATCTTTTAATGCAAAATTATGTTAAATAAAGATCAAAATGACAAATATACTCTTAATTAATAAACAATTGACCAAAATGATTTAATAAAACTTAAAGGTATTTTGATCATTCTATTCTTATGTAATGGAGATTTTTCAATGAATGATCAAAATTATTGATATGGACAAACTCAGGGAACAATTTTATTGATTTTAAATCTCATGATCAAAGTAAGGAGTTATGCAGATCTCAAAAACCATTTTAGATAAAAACCCTATTATTAAATAGAAACGTTATAGTTATGATGAATTTGTTTACGTAAGTTGGTTTTTATTTTTTTTAATTTTTTTATACAGTAGATCAAATTGGTGTATATTCTATTTAGAATTCAAAAGATTTTGGAGTAAGTTTAGATTAGGTACTAATTTGGATTTTTTTTTCACAAAAAAATAGTAGATATTTTAGAAAGAATTCAGTTTGTTTGACCGTTTAATTATCTATAAAATTGATGATGTGACAAATATTGAAGTTGAACTGTTTTTAGGGCGCAAAGAAGCCACAATCATCATTATAACCAAAATGTTTTACAGCATCTCCAAAGGTTTATTGTCTATGTGGCATGTTGAAGTTTATTTGTTAGCAATTAAGGTTTTGAACATAAAATTTAAATTTGACTGCTTATATGGCATTTTGATATCTTTTAAAATTTTATTGTCCAACTGATATGTCAAATTAAATTATTATTTTATTATATTATAAAATAAATGATTAAATTAATAAAAGGCATTTAATAATTATGAAATCCAGACCGTTCACTATTTCTTTTTAACAAAAGGGGACCGTTCACTTATCTCGATTGAACAAAAGGGAAACGGGTCAACAACAACATTAATTGCAATGATGATTAAACCAACAAAAAACTAATAAAAAGCATTAATAATTAATTTTGAAACTGCTGTCAAATTTGACAGCAATTCTCTTGCTACCAATCCATGTCATCACCACATAGAATTTGACATTTCAGTTGGAGAACATTAGTGTGGTTTTTTTACTGTTATAGCTTATGTGAACATTTTGACATCTCATTTGAAGATACTCTTAGTGTCTTTTAGAGTTTGACCGCTACAAGTCTTAAAACTTTAGACATAAACTCACGTATATGAAAACTTCTAAATAAAATTCAAAAATCTGTAAGTAATAATACTCTCTCCGCGTGAATACACTAAAACTTTCTTAATCTAAAACTCCATCTCCCTCTCGTTCTAGATCAACCAATACGAAAAACCAGACCAAAAACCATAGTTTCAATGGGACTGGCGGAAGCATGCGAAGAACTGAAGAAAATTGATGAAAATTTCTCTTATTTCTCAGCATTCCAAAAGTTAGAATTGCCGTGGTTTTCCAAAAATTTCTTCGCGTTTGCTGTCTTCCTTTGAAGTAAGTGTGTTTTTTAAGATGCAACGGACACCAATTCTCTTCCTCCAACTGTTTGACGAGTAACTTGATTTTTTCATATCAACGCCCTATTGATCATTAAAATGTATGGGCCGAGAGTGCAATATCGAGTATAAACAAACGCTTTTAGAGCAAGTACGTCACAAGATTTCATCGATCGTAAATTTTTCTTTCACCACATGCGCATGCATATGTTAAAGCTCTCACTACAGTTTTGACATTTCTAGTTGAACCTAAATGTTTCACCCTACATGTTTTTCTGAAGTTGTGTCATCCCCAGCGGCGCCAAAACTCTGATAGGAAGAGTAGGTTGGCTTTTATTTTTCTTAATTTGCCTTTTATTTTTCTTAATTTGCCTTTTATTTGACACCTACCATGTACCACCCTGTTCCATGAGAAGGTTTTTTATTACACAGGTACACCGTTACATAACGTTCGTTGTCAATAACTCACGTGACCATCGCAATGTTAAACCCCATTCAAGTTGTTCTGTTTTCGTACGGGACTAATCAATTACAAGCACTCTCATCGCAAACCCTAAAATCCCAAATTCGATCCAGTTTCAAGCGCAATTCAAGCACTTACATTGGTTTTTGTGGGTGGCGAGGTAAAAATTCGTCATTGCAATTTGCTTCCGCATTGTCTTTGAATGTTTTTCGTAAATGTAGACATCTGAACGTCCCAAATAAATTCTGAAATAAATGGTTATGGTGCTTGAGAGTTCCGTAAAGAAGCATTATGTCACCGCCGATCACTGCGGTATTAACCGCGGCGAAGGTGAAGGCCGAACAGAATTAAGATATGATTCTAATTCATAATGTATCAGTATTTGAGACCCAAAACGTACATAAAAATCATAAATTTTTTTTTTGATATATTGTGCAGAAAGATGGATCAGATACACCTGGCTTGGTGGTCTCTGTGTAATACAGAGATACAATTCGCTCAGTTATTTCAGCTTCGATCATTTGGGGAAATAATCATCACTTCCATCTTTTCTTTCTTTTTTTTTTTAAAAAAAAACCCCAAAATTCAAAAACATAAATATTGAAATATAAAAACAAAACATAAAATTCAAACACCCTGAAGAAATTTTTTAAAAAAAAATTAATAAACAAAAAATAAATAAAGACAGTGGATTTTGGGGATTTGAGAAAGATCAGAGTTCTGGCTTGGAAATTAAAAATAGCGCAAGTTTGAATCAGCTTCGATCATATGGGGAAAGTAGCATCACTTCAATCCCAAATCCACCTCCAAAAACATAAACCCTAATTTCAAACAACACATAACACAACCACAGAAAATCAAAAACAGAGAGACGAATAAAATCTGCGGTTGACAGAAAAAGAACGGCTATGGAGCCCCGAATTAGAACCCTAAAAATAACCAGACACTGTGACGAGGAAGGTGAAGCGTCGGGGAGGAGAGGAGATAGAGTGGGAGAGTTGAAGGAGGCGATTCAATTATATAGGCACCCGTCCTGCACTTGGAAACCCTAATTTCATCGGGTGTTTTAGGCGCGGTCCAAGTAATGACAATACGGCGCCGTAGCGTGATAGTTACCCTAAGGCCCAATATTAGAGGTAAGCCCATGAACTCTAGTTTAGAAAACAAAGCCCGTCGGGTGGCTTCTCTCACTCAATACTACGGTGTATATGATTGTATTCTTCTTCACTTGAAAGTTAAAGGTCTTAACTCTGAATCTCGTGGATGAAGAATTCGATATCAAATTAGGCTGCCCATTGTGTGGCTTAACCGAACTCCCTCTCCCCTTAGTGTAAAAATATCGATGTACTAAAAAATCATAAGAAACTATTTGTTATCATTCATTGGATTCAATTTTTTTTATTTTTTATTTTTGAAACTAGTGAGTACTAAGTAACTGAGCTACATTCATAATTTTTCAAAAGAAAAAGTTGAATCCGATAAGGATACCGACACTGAGCTATATCCCTCTGAAATTCCAAAAATATGTTTTCAAAAGTCTTATCATACTAAGAAATTGATACGCAAACCCACTGCATGTTAGGGTGATCTGTGCATATGTTGTGTGGCAATTGACTAGAATTGTTTGCAATGAATTGGGCTCAGGGTCTATTGATGTGTGCTTCTAGGACTTTCTTAAAGAATGTGCCCTTTTAACCCGTTATAATTTGACTAATGATCTACATATTCCGTTAAGGGCAAAGTAATCATATTTGAAAAGTTGTATACACAAAACATTTCTATTGGTCGAGATATTTTACTTTCCCATAGATATTAAAGTATTAAACTGAATATCTTTGCTTTTACCCAAAAACAAAGAATATATTTGCCAAACAGCACATATTATATTAATGATAATAAGTTTCAACAACCGTACAAGTACCCATCAAACCAAAGCCTGCAGAATAAGATTCCATATGGTAATAAAAATAATAATAATAATTAGAAGGGTAGTGATATCTACACACCATTTTTTACTTCTTACACACCGCCTGTCAATATCCGACTATTAGATCTAATGAATTGAATAAGTTCAAAGGATATAAATTAACAAGAGGTGTGTAAGAGACAAAAATCGTCTGGATAATACCATCCTAATTAGAAAAAGAAAAAAAAAAGGAAAAACCACAATATCCCCAAGGCCTGATTCCTTTAATTTCAACACATTATAATTCAAAGTACTAATTATCATTTGAAAGATAGTTTCTTTGAGATTTTATGGTTTGGATGATTGTGTGCGCCCTTGACAACAGTAACCGGACATGAAGCATTTGTCACCACATAGATGCTTACACTGCCCAGCAACACCCTGCAAATTCATCGCACATATTAATCAACCATTTTGCAGGAAAAATATTTAATCAAACACAAAAACTTTTATTTTCTTTCGTTTCTTTTGTGTTTTTATGAGAAGGTGAATTAGTGGAAATATTGGTCGAATAATGGTCACCTTTTGATAGGGCCTAAGCCCCTGCTTCCGACGACAAGCGAATCAAGCTTAAGATCTTGCACTGCATCACACAACTTCTCTCTTGGATCCCCCCAGTACACCTTTGCCACAGCCTCAGCCTGTTCATAATCGAATCAACACACATTAATTATACTCTAATTTATAATCTAATAATTCATGTCTCTATGCACACAAACTAATTTGTGAAGAGTGGCGACTACCAATCTACAGTGTATGATATACAGTATTAATATCAACATTATATTGAGTGCATTGATAGTATATTAAACTTCTGTAAATCGATACTCGTTGCTAGATGATCGCTAGATAGATAACTATATATATATATCATGACCGTTCTACCATCTATCTGTGCAGTTGTGCAAATCCTATAAATCTATACTTCTATGTATATATACAAAATAATTAATATTAGAGATGAGATTAATATATAACAAATTATCATACCCCTTTAGTTTTTGACACTTTGTCAAGAATATCAAGCACCTCTGGATCATTAGTAAGTCCATAGTGCTTTGAGACATTAGTCTCCACAAGTTCTTCTAGAGGAATCAAAGCTGCAATAAAAAACACAAAAAAAACAAAAGAAATTATATGTAATTCATAAATTTAAATTATTAAGGTAACTAATGATAACTAACAAGTATATGTATGTAGAGAGAGAGAGAGAGAGACATGCGTACGTGATCCAGTGTTCTCAAACAGCTGTTTCCTGCTTGTAGTAGCTGCTTTGGTTGGCTCAACGTGGATTAATACGATGCGATCTCCTTGTTCGATGAGATTATCGACTGCCCATCTTAGGGCTAATTTGCTTGTTGCTGAATAATCCATTCCAACTCCTACACTGCGAGCCTTCCCCATCGATCTCAACTTCCTTTCTCTCTCTAGATCTCTCTCTCTCCTCTAATTAACCTTTCTTTCTTTGAGTTAATCCGGCTTATCTATAAATACTTGGGCATTGATCCTTTACTGTGGATGATACAGTCTACAGAAGAAGGTTCTTGAAGGCTGTAGCTAGTTGGCTTCTTTCTAAAGTACACAATGTTAATTAATGGGAAAATAGACAGAAAATTTTAGCATAAATTCTCCTGCAACTTGTTCTTACGTACATTAATATCATTTAGTCGATGTGCGCCCGCGGATTTGTTGCTTTAGTTTAACACGCATAGATTCGTTCTTTTAGTATTCATGGAAAATACTTTACCTGATACCCAATTTGCAGATACTTTTATATATACTTTTCCTATGGCGTTTCTAACAAGTTCATGTAACATGCGTACTCTTCCAAAAAAAAAAATACCTACTTTTAATTGTCATTTGTCACATTTTAATTCATGGAACTATTATTTGCACTTCAAAATTTTCATTTTGCACTCCTCATAAGTGTATTTTTCTTCCCACATATAGAAAATTTAGAGTGCAAAATGAGTATTGTGGAGTATCAATAACAATTCTTTTAATTTATTGTGACTTCTAAAGTATAATGATGATTGAGCCGCGCAAGAAAAAAAAATCCATTTCTTTCTCATTTATCTTCTACATTTGGATTCAGATTATGCGTTGCAGTCTCTGTTTTTTGTTATGCTTTTACATTTGGATTCAGACTGAGATGCAGTACTCTCTGTTTGTTGTTCTGCTTTTACATTTGGATTCAAATTATTGCAATGTACTGTCTGTTTTTTTTTTATTCTGCTTTTACATTTGGACTCATACTCTGTAATATCGTGTCTATTTTTGTAAATCTATTTTCCTATGGATTTTCTTCTAGTTTCCAAGAGATACAAGCATTGCCTTCCACCATTCTAAACACAAATTCAATTATAAAATTAAATAACAAAAAGGGCCTAAAGTTCAAAGCACGAATTTTGCATATTTGATCAACCGCTCAGTTCCTTCTAAACCTCATCGATACTTAGGTTTAATATCTATAACCCTAGCCTCAACAAGCTTTCTTCTAGAAAATCTCTTCAGCAACCAATGTGTGACTAGTCCTTCCTAGACCCCACCGCCACCATCCACTTCATGATCTCGTGAAGGTCATTGAAGGTTCTGGAAGGAATCGTGTTAATCATGATGTCATGGTAACGGATCAACTGAGGTGTTGGGATCTGGTTGACACGCTCCGACCCTGATTTTCTTCGTACACCAGGGTAGGCACGTGCTGGCTGACACCCAAAGGTGACGCAAGCCATTTTGGATACGTGAGAATTAAAAATACGAATAAGATAATAGAAATTTAATTATAAATATTATGCAAGTAAGGAACATGTTAAGAGCATACGACTAACTAGAACACTAAAGAAAATAATATAAAATTGAATGAAAAAAAGAATAGATCCTACGCCAAGAGGATTCGAAGATGCCGGTGCGGAAATGCCTTGACGTCGGGTTTGTACACCTCGATTCTAAGTCCTGTTTTCTTTAGTTGCACAACATTTCGATGGCAAAGTACTGTGAGTGGACCCCTTCTAAAATGCATGTTTTAATAGTAGAAATGCATACATGAAAAACATGATTTAATGATTACGTTTTATGAGAAATTGATTATCATACTATACTGAACTTATTTTGGAATACCATATTTTCTATCAAAACCATGTTCTTTATAGAATATCTGATGGATGACGATATATTATTTAGAACATGTTTTCACACACTTCTTTATAGTATAGATGATGGATGACTTTATACTATGAAGATGATTTTGAGATATCAGTACCTATGTTTTAGAAAGATTATGTTCAACTTTTTGTGTGTACCTAGTGGTCACTATATGCCTGTTTGGCAATTGATACAGATATGCCTGTTTGGCAAATGATACTGATATGCCTGTTTGGCAAATGATATACATGCCTATTTGGCAAATGATACTGTTATGCCTGTTTGGTAAGTGATAGATGTGCCTGTTTGGCAAATGAAGGGTTCTGATACTGTTACTGATATATATTAATTGTTGATGGCTTTTGAATATTATTTTATGATATTAGTATTTCTATGAAAATTTGCATGTTTGTTGCCATATATTCTTGGTTTTTGCATTCATAAATGGTTTGTGTCACCTACGGGTGTCGGCTATCACGTAACCACCTTGGTGTACGGAGAAAATCAGGGTCGGGGCTTGTCAGATGCTTTGATACCATTATGTCACATCCTGCGCGATATTGTCCGCTTTGGGCCCCGACCACACCCTCACGGTTTTGTTTCTTGGAACTCACATGAGAACTTCCCAGTGGGTCACCCATCCTGGGAATGCTCTCGCCCGAACTTGCTTAACTTCGGAGTTCTGATGGAATCATTTTGTCACATCCTAGTCTCGGCTCCGTCGTAGCACAAATTGTCCGCTTTGGGCCCCGGCCACACCCTCACTGTTTTGTTTCTGGGAACTCACACGAGAACTTCCCAGTGGGTCACCTATCTTGGGAATACTCTCGCTCAAACTCGCTTAACTTCGGAGTTCTAATGGAATCCGAAGCCAGTGAGTTCCCAAAAAGCCTCGTGCTATATGGAGATGGGTATGTACATATAAGGCACATTGCCCTCTCTCCGTTGGTCAATGTGGGATGTTACAATCCACCCCCTTAGAGGCCCAACGTCCTCGTCGGCACACTCGCACCACACGGCCCAAAGCAGATAATATCGTGTTATGGCCAGCCGAGACTGGGATGTGACACTGGTGCTACTCGTCGTCGCCAACAACCTCTTCCTCTTCATTGGAGAGAAGATGGGAGAGATGGGAGGAGAGAAGGACAAGAGAGAGTAAGGAAAGAATGGGATAAAGAGATATCAGAGAAAGCCAAGATAGAAGAGAGTAGATAAGAAAAAGAGAGTGAGGAGGAGAGAAGAAAAACAATAAATTGAAGTGAGAGAAAGGTAGAATAGTTATTTTCTAAATAGCCTAAACACATGTGACGTGCTTCATTGACTTATGACTAATTAGTAAAGATTCTATTGACCTTTTGCAAAATAACCTTACAATTTTTCCCTTAGATGATTAATTTATCTTTTATTTTAGTGTAAATTTAAATAGAATTTATCAAAACTTAAAAGTCTTGAACAAGGATTTGGATCCAATTCAGAAACAACCTTTCTCTTGACACAGTAAAACCTCCCTAAAGTAATACTTTATAAAACCTCCAGTCATAAAAAATTCTAGCCCCAACTTGGGACTAGTTATGTATAAGAATAAACTCCACAATAATAAGTTATAATTTTTCCTAGTCTCATGTTAAGGAAACACGTCTCCACATAATAATTATCAATGAGAACAAAAATATGCAATATCACAAATAAAAATTTAGGATAAAAACTATAATATTTTTCAAAAGTTATTTGGGACAATGCTTTAATTTTTTGAATTGATGTCATGTTTTTGAGCTTGTGGATAAATCTAAGCAAGAAGTAAAATACTTAGCGCCCAAGGAATCCAAGAAATACAACATTCATTAAGGGTAAATAAGTCAATGAATAATATTTTTAACTACATCTTTATTAAGTAATAACCTCCGTAAAGTTATAAAATTGGTTTAGTCCAAACTTTAAGATTTTGTAATGGTTTTACAACAATAATATAGATGGCTAGCATCTCAACACACACATTGATTTTTATGAAATTATTTTATTTTAATAGAGGTAAATTAAGATTAAATACCAAGTTGAACATGAGTTTTAAGAAGAAAAAAAATCAATTTTTAAGGAAAATTGCCAAGCACAACCCCACAACCTAGGGCTGGGCACGGGCCAGGCCAGGTCTAAATTTGGAAGAACCTGGCCCTATTTGCTTTAAAATGTAACGGGCCATGTATAAGGATTTTGAGTTTGGGAACCGGACCTAGCCCGATCCGTTTCAAATTGGCCGGTTCGGGATGGGTCCACGAGTCTAATTACTTTTTTTTTTTCGGTTTTGAACGGTGCCAATCTGCTCCTCAACCTCCATAAACTCATTGGAATTATCCTCCGCATTGGCCTGTAATTTCCGACATGAACAAACACAGATCGCCAAAAAACCCTAATCAATATTAAATCTCTGATACAAACTTCGAATTCAGAAATATTTACTCATAACAATGCATCATTCACAATCAACTAATTGAGATTTGTAGAAACCCTAGGTGTACCTTGATCGGGGAAGAGTGAGAGAAGGTAGAGCAGAAGCAGAATGAAAGGGATCGTTTACTTCCTCATCGTTGCAATTCGAAAACCAGAAAACCAAAACCCAAAACCGAGATTTATCTGTTTCTGGGTTAATTTTCCCTATATCCAGAAAACTAAAACCCAAAAATCGAATCCCTTTTTGACTCATGCATGCCCGCGAAATCAATTGAATTTCAAAAACAAGAACACAATAACCCTTGAATTGGCAGAAATTTCCTAAACAGAACATCATCGAAACCCAAACCATTTTCCGTTTGGTTCAATTATGCAGACACAACAAGGATATGCAGAGATCGAAACCCAAACCGATCCTCGACAAAAGCCTTTACCTCCTCAGCGTCGAGAAAATGACGCTCTCACAGGTCTAGTCCTTGCAGTGAAAATGCAGAGAAAACTAGCAAAACCCAGATTGGGGTTTTGGGCTAAAAGCTAAAAATGCATGATTTGTGGAAAACCCAACTGGGATTAAGATCTTGAAGAAGAAGAAGGTTCAGGGAGAGAGAGAAGAGAAACCGTGGGAGATAGAAAGGCAGTTGAGATTGAGAGAGTGAACTGAATTATGGAACCTTGGACTCGGGTATGGTTGAGATTGGATGATAGGTTATCATTTAATCTCGGCTGTTCATTATAATTAGAAACGGGTTTCGGGTACCCGTTTTTCTAAGTATCTGGACTCGGCCCACCCCATAAATGAAAAGGGCCCAGCCCGGCCTACCCTGTTTGTTCTCTAAAATATTAGGAACCAGCTTGTACCCGCCCTGAACCGTGATTACCCGCCTCGACTCGCGGTTCTAATACCCGTTTACCTACCCTTACCACAACCCATTCTATTTGGATTAAGCCACACTTTGTGGGCCAAGACATTGATAAGCATAAATAC